GCAAGCTTTCCACAGGCACTGGATGGAGAGGGGTGACCTAACACCTATTGAGCATCCAGTGGGGCAGGCATATTTCTAAGAGTTTTATACTTATTAATTCATTGACTGCAACAACCCTGTGAGGTACTGTTATTATCCCCATTTTACAGATAAGGGAACTGGGGCAGAGAGCAGTCATGTAACTTTCCGAGGTCACGCAGCCAGTATGAAGAGCCACGATTCGATCCATTCTCCATAAGCAGGAGAACGAAGGCAGAGATTGGTCAAGGCTGGTTGAGCAGTCGCAGCCTGACCCACCACCCTACGTCAGTCGGCCAAGCCCCCTTTTGTGCCTTCCCAGCATAACCTGCTCTCTTTGCACCTGCTAGTCTGGGCGACTGGTTTCTATGTCAATAGATTTCTTTTTTTTTTTTTTTTTAAGATTTTATTTATTTATTTGAGAGAGAGAGAGTGAGAGACAGCATGAGAGGGAGGAGGGTCAGAGGGAGAAGCAGACTCCCCGCCGAGCAGGGAGCCCGATGCGGGACTCAATCCAGGAACTCCAGGATCATGACCTGAGCCGAAGGCAGTTGCTTAACCAACTGAGCCACCCAGGCGCCCCCATGTCAATAGATTTCTTGAGAGCACTTTTATATTTCATGCTTACACCGATCTTCCATTATTACCCCATTTTTAAAGGAGGAAACACAGGCTGCAGGGAGGCTGAAAAACTTGGCGGAGCGCTCCCAACCAGAAAGCAGCAGGTTTGGGATTTGAACCCAGACACTCAGATGCTACCCCCTCTCCCAACTGCCTGAGCTTGAGCAAGCCTCACCTGAAGGCCTCTTCCAGAAGTCTGCAGCCCAGCCAGGCATGCAGCAGGGTTTCCCCAGCTTGCCAGATGTGTGTGCTCACACTTCATCTGGACTTGCACTCCCTCCCCACCAGCCTCAGAGTTTCCTGCCTTCGGGTGGCCACATTAGTCACACTCTGTCTGAGAGCCCAAGGATTATGAGTGGGAGCGGAAACAACAGTTGTGTTAATCAGGTCAGTCTGATTAATCAGTTCAGGCCCAAACCTGCTGGACTGCGGTGATGCCAGGAAAGAGAATTCTCAGAAAAACCATCTTCTTGCTGCTTGAAACTGTCCAGGGACGAGCTTGACTCTGCAGTGGCAAGGATTTCTCAAAAGGAAAGTCAGACACACCAAAAGGAGTAGCTAGGAGGCTCACAACGACAGGAAGCACAGGGCCGGGGAGTCTGCAAGAGGCAGAGGAAGCAGGGGCTCATTCTGTTATTCAGGGGGATAAAGACAGATTTCCTCTGAGGCTGGCCAGCTGTGCTAATTGGAAGGAACTGGAAAAAACAGTAATTTATTTTCAAGTAAATAATCTGTGCACATTCTAAACTATGTGCCTATTCTTCCATTAGTGCGAGTTTACAGTGAAGACGCATCTGGTCCAGTCAGAGACTTGGCAGGAAGAAGAGGCACTGTCAGGCAGGGTACCCGACCAAGGAGAGGTTAACCCAGGCACGGTTTTTCAAAGGTGTGGGGAGGGCTAAGGGAACCAGTGCAGGACAGTGCAGCAGCCTGGGCCTAGCTCCTCGGGGTAGCTGTCGTTACCCCAGGCTGGAGGACGAAGAGGGAGCAGCCACACAGGCCAAGGACTCCAGCTGCAGCTAAAGGCAGGCAGCCAGCCTGGCAGGGGGAGAAATACTCCCTCCTCTTCACTCTCCTGCCATCCTCTGATCCCAGTTGGCGCCTCCCATTGGCCAAACCCAACAGAAGCCAGAGGGCAGGGGAGGCCAGTGATCCAATCCGTGGAGTTAGGATGGAGACAGGTAGAGAGTGGATCTGGATGGGCTGATAAAAAGTCCTTGGCACACTTCTGGCCCTGGTACCACAATCTCTTTCCTCCACCCCCTCTACTGCCATTTCTGAGCACCTACAGGCCTTCCCTAATCAGACACTGGGAAAATGCGAATGCCGAGACCAAAAAACCCAGGGGAGACTGGAAAAGAAGCAATGGATGTCAACGTCACTTATGCCAGGTATGGAGAAATTCTGCCCACGTCTCTGGAGTCCAGCCCATTGTGGGAGATGATTGCTGTGGGCAGGAAAGACAGTTATTAGTGCAGTGTCTCCAATCAGCATTCCAGGAGCATGGGCCATAATTTGCCATCCCCTAGAACCAGGAAGGTTCTGGAAAACAATGCATGCTTCATTTTAACTTAGCTGTTTGTTGTTTACAAGGCCAATGCCAGGTTGTTTTGTTTTTTTTTTTACAAAAGAACAAATTCTGCTGCCCCTGCCAAGGACTGGATATCTTGACACCAAGAAACACAGCAGAAGGTGACATTGTAGGCAGCACGATGAATCTTTTTGCTTCTCCAAATCTAGCATCTTCTTAGGGAGGCATGGCCAGAGATGCCAACCCTTTTCCCACCGGCCAATTCTGGATCTTTAAATAACTAGTATAGGTACCATGCTGTTCTAGCTCTAAAAAGTGAAGCAGGAGTCCAAATGGAGCTTGTTTTAATTGAAGAGTGTTTACACTTGTAAAAGGTTCTGGGTTTAGAGATCCATAAACAGAGAACAGAGACTGAATGCTAGAAAGAGATAGGCAGGGAGAGAGGGGGCCACCATCTGATCAGTTACAGTGTGTATGCCACCCCCCTAGTTGTGAATCTGGCAGCCCCCACAAGATTCACTTTGTAACAAACTTTCTACATGGCATGCACTGTTTGCACCAGTGGGAGACAGAATCCTGGATCTGGCAACTGACGATGGGCTTTAAAACACCCCACTTCCCTCCTGGGGGGATAGGATGAGGCAGATCATAGTTGCTGCAAGAAGCAGCTTCAGTTAGGACTCTATTCAAGTCCTGGTTCAGACACTCAGAACTGAGTGGCCTCGGGCAATTCACTGAACCTCAGTTTCCTGATCTGTAAAATGGAAAGAAAACTACTTGCGGGAATTCAAAGAGACCATTCATAAGCCCTAGGGACACAGTAAGCATTCAAAAGATAAGAGCCACATATAAGAGGGTATGTGGCGGGGACAACAGCGAACATCCATTGAACCCTAATATCTGCTGGGTGGCGAGCTAAGGGCTTTGCCTGATTTAATCATGAAATCACCTCAGCTTCCTTTTGAAGCGTGTCCCCGTTTCACACATGAGGAACTAGGCACAGAGAGTTTGAGGGATTTATCCAAGGTCGTCCTACTAGTATGTAGCAGAGCTGGGGCTCCAACTCTAGACACTCTGGCTTTTGAAGGCAAACTCTGATGTGCATTTTTATGGCATGCATAATTAATCCAGAAAACTCCATTTGTGAAGATTTCACAAGGAGGAGGAATTTCAAAATGAGGACAGCCTCTGAGAAGAGCTTGCCAGGAGGTTCTTGCTTCCCTCTGCTCCCCCTGCCCGCCCCCCCCAGCCAGGGTATCTTCTCCCCGCTTGTCCACTGTCCACTTCCCTCCAGAGACTCACGGAGGGGCCCAGTCACGAAGAGGGCAGTTTTGAGCCACCCGGAGGGCTTAGCCGAGGGTGAGACATCGACTTCTCTCTTTACCTCTCTGCCCGCTCTCTGGTTGCCCTCCATCCTAACCCCCGACCATGGGTCCTAACAACCATAACGGCACAGGATTCTGCAGACTCCCGCAGGGGCCACTCCCAGACACTCATTTCACAAACAGGAATGGGGTGCTCTCCTCTGAGCCAAGCGCTGGGCCAGGAGTGAGTGTCCTGCAGAGAGACAGCTGGGTGCCAGTGACCCCAGTGGATGGTGCAAAAGATGCTGGGAAGGGAGCCAAGGGAGCACCGCACAACTGAGAGCCAAGAAGGCTTGATAGGGGAAGTGACATTTGGGTCTAAAACCTGGGGCTGGAGTTCAGGAGATGGAGTTCAGGAGTTCTTTTGAGTGGAGAGGGACACAGTTAAGATCTGCGGGTATGGGGCGCCTGGGTGGCTCAGATGGTTAAGCGTCTGCCTTCGGCTCAGGTCATGATCCCAGGGTCCTGGGATCGAGTCCCGCATCGGGCTCTCTGCTTCTTGGGAGCCTGCTTCTCCCTCTGCCTCTCTCTCTCTGTCTCTCATGAATAAATAAATAAAAATCTTTAAAAAAAAAAAAAAAAAGATCTGCGGGTATGAAAGAGCAGAGGTGCTGAAGGAACAGCTAAGGGTAGCTTGGGGTAGGATGCTGGCTCCGGACTCACCTGCTTGGGTTTGAATCTCAGTGCCTCCACTTACTACCTGTGTGACCTCGGGCTCATTAGTTGACCTCTCTGTGCCTCATCCCCCCACGTGCAAAATGGGGATGATAACAGTATGTACCTAGTAGAGTGGGGAGGATCCGATGAGTTCCGTGCATCTAAGTGCTTGGTACAGTGCCTGGCACACAGTGAGTGCTCAACCCTGCAAAGCTCTGGCTACTGTTACTGCTGTTCTACGGGGGTTTGGGGCAGAGGACAGGCAGGTGGCCTTAGCGCCTCATTGAATTCCCAATAAAACCAGCAGGAGGTCCTCTGTGTTGTGCCTGGCCACGCATGACTCAGGCACACCCGGGGGGGGGGGGGGGGGGGAACACCAGGGCAGGGATCCAGGAGGCAACAAACCTAGGCTGGCCCGCTGGGGCTGAGGTCAGGGGAGCTGGAGAGAGGCTCAGGGCAGCAGCGCGGGATTGCACTTCCTGAGTGGCTACCGATGTGCTGGCGCTGCGGATAAAGGACGTGAAAAGCACAGAAAGGTGCTTCCCGGGCTCTGCTCTCAGCTTAGGGATGTGGCGGAGAAGGACCCTTGTCCTTTTGCAGAGGCAAGGCCAGTCTGAGCCCTGTGCCGGGGACACAATGGTGTGGGGGTGGGGAGTGCTGTACCTCTAGGACAGGTCTGAGCGACTGTGGTTCTTCCTGGCAGGCGCCTCGCCTGTGGCCTGTGGTCAGTGACGGGCAGGGCAAGGACCCGCAGGACTGGGTGCGCCCGACGGGGGAAGGAGGGGAAGGGGCGAGGATGGGGGGGCTCGGGGCACCACGAGGAGGAGGGTCTGGCCAGGAAATGGACCCGCCAGCGTTCCCAGACCACCTCTGCCAGCAACCAGAGGACGCAGCGCCCACCTTGCTCGCGGCGCGCTGGCCCTAGGAGGGGGCGCGGACAACGCGCGGGGTAACTGCGCCCGGCACTCTGGCCCTTCACCGCGCAGGTATGTGTCCCCCGGAGCCAGGCCTCTTCCTCTCGCCACGGTCGGGGTCGGTCGGTCGTGGGGTCCCTGGCGCACCAGGAAACCGCCTGCGCACAGCCGAGCGCGCCGGGTCCCGGGCACTGGCCGCCAGGTCGGCGCCTTCCCCGGCACGGCCCCGCGAGCGCGCGCGGAAGCCGCGGGCCCGTGGCGGCCACGTGTACGTGCGCGGGGCGCGGCGGCCCCGTGCGGGAGCGACGGCGTGCGCGCGTGGGTGCGCGGGACAGGGCGGGCCAGCGCGGGAGCGGCCGCGTGTGCGCGCGCGCGCGGGCCCGGGCGGCGGCGGCCAAGAGCGGGCGCGCCCCGGACGAGCACGGCGGGCGCCTAGCGGAAGCGGGCAGACGCGGCTGCGGCCGGGCCAGCCTGGTGTCTAACCCCCGAGCGCCGCCGGCGCGTCCCGGTCCCTCTCCGGGGTGGAATGTCTCTGCCCCGCGGTTGCTGCCTGCTCTGGCAGCCACCCCCTCGGCTGGCTCAGTGGCCACCTGGCAATTACACACACACAGCTAACCCTGCCCAGATCCCGGCAGGCAGCCCAGTGACACAAAGATTCGCCAGGTTTTCCTTTCCTTCCCCCGAAACTGCTCGGTCGGTGTCTCTTGCGTGAAGGGCAGGTGTCCGGCCCAGGGAAAGCTTGCCTGCGATTGGCCGAAGGAACGCCGGGTGGGGTTGGCAAGGCCTCCGGCCTGGCAGTCGGTGGACCCGGATTATCCTCAAGCTGGAGAACAGTGACAGGGTGGCCACACGGCACAGGAAGACACTTTTGGATTTAGGAGGAGGGATAGAGGAGGGAGCACAGTCTTGGAGCCAGAGGCTCTGTGACTTTGGGCAGGTCACTTTCTGTGTCTGGGCCTCGGTGAAACAGAAATAACTATTGGCCATGGCAACCACATAGAGGGTCGTGAGGACAAAAGAGATGTGAGAATGGTCCAGATCTGAGACGATGCGATTGTGTCTTCTGGCACAGGTAAGCTTTCAAAGAAAAGAAGTCAGGGAAAATTCCTGAGCTTAACAGAGGATGTGGGGCTTAAGCAGTGTGGATGCCATAGATTAGGGCATCTGCTGCTGAGAGCCCCATTCCAAAGCTAGAGGACTATGATCCACATCTCAGCTCTTCCTCTTACTAGACCTATTACCTTAGGCAGATCAGCTACCCTGTTTTTAAGCCTCGGTGTCACTTTCTGTGAAATGGGTATGATAATAGAGCCTGCTTCCTAGGGTGGTCATGAGATCATGCAGCTGAAGATCTTGCCTTGAAAGCTTTGCAGTGCCCCCTAAACCTTAGCTATGAATATTGTTATTATCATCATGTTGAACCCTTCTGGGTACAGTGCACACTGTAGGGAGGGAAGACTCATCCAACAGCAAACAGTGGAAAACGGGTTTTATCCTTCCTAGCTGGCTGGTCTCAAACAAGATACCTTCCCTCTCTGAGCCTTAGTAGTTCATGGGGAAAATGATGATTATTATATCCACCCCACAAAGTTGTTATAAAAATTAAAATAACCATATGAATGAATCCAGCACATGATAAGCCCTCACCTGATTTTGGAGAAAAATAATACTTGTGTTCCAGTTATCTACTGCTGTATAACAAACCACTTTAAAGACAGCTGCTTAAAATAACAGCATTCATCTACTTTGCTCAGGAATCCACGATTGGGGCAGGGTTTGGTGAGGATGCTGTATCTCTGCTCCTTGCAGCATCTGCTGATGGGGCCCAGCTGGGGCAAGAGAATCTTCTTCCAAGATCACACACTCGTGTGCTAAGCCAGTTGATGCTGACCCTCAGCTGGGACTGTCGTTCAGGGTCTGGGTTCCTGTCAATGTGGGCCCCCTCCCAGCACGGTAGCCAGGTTTTAAGGGCAACTATCCCAAGTGATAGGAAGTGGAAGCTTCCAGTCTCTTCAGAGTTGGCCTCAGTAGCAACAGCCCACCGAGATTCAAGGGCAGGGGACTTAGACCCCGTCTCTCAATGAGAAAAAGCATCAAATCATTTCCAGCTGTCTTGAATCTACCACAACTTGAAAACCTTCCTTTGTGCTTTTGCTTTTTTTACTTTTCCTGGGTGCCATGGTGACAAATTAATTCAACTTTGCAAAGACGACCAGCAGAGATCCAGATATCCATAACTAGGGTCTTATCACAGAGCCTGTTTGGGTCCGGATCTCTTTCTCTGGGCCTGATTCCGGGCTGAAGGAGCAGGCATCCTATATAGTGGCTTCTCTGGTATCTGTTTCCTTGGAACTTCCGGGGCTTCAGTCCCCAGCTCTGCCAACCCCTTGTCTTTAAAACAAGAGGGGGAAGCCAGGAAGAGGGTAATTGGGGTTCAGAAAAGCAGATTTTTCGCAGGTGGCCCAGGCTGAGGATAATGAGCATCGATGTAGCTTTCAGTTTCCTAGAGAAATCTGTTTGTTTTTCAAGAGGGTTGCTGCCTGGGTGTTTGGAGCGACTGTTGTCCTACATTATTAGGTTATTAGCTGATGGGTTGAAGTACCGTGGGTGGGGAGGGCAGGAGGCCAGGGAGGGCAGCAGGCCCCGGGAGTCGCTATGGCAACCTTCAGGTCTGTGGTTTGTGCTTCGGCTCCAAGCAGGAAGGATGTCCGAGACAGTTGAGACCTTCTCAGAGAGACCACAGACTCTCCAAAGAGAGACCAAAGTCTCTCTCTCAGCAGTAGGTTTCCACTGTAATGTATTTTCACGCATGGCCACCCACCCATGTCCTCAGAGTCAAAACCAACCCTCTTCCCATTGCCTCCTCCCAGAGTCTGCCTGTCTGCCCCAGTCTGTTATTTCCCGACTTCAATTTCAGCCACACTGGGCTGCAGAAAGAAATGGATTTTAGATTCATGTATTCATTCACACATTCAGCACATTGTTGTTGTGCGTTTATTTTGGGCCAAACCACCTTCTCCCAGAGAGAGAACAAAACAGACCCAGCTCCTCCTTCCTCCTGGGGCTTACTATCTAGAAGGGGAGATGGGCATGAGCAAGTAATCATACAAATTCCCATGCACTGCATTGTTAATTATTAGAATATAATTAATTCAGACCTGACTTGAACCCCAGCACTGCCGTGAGCCAGCTCTGTGACCTTGGTGTCTTCGGTGGTGAAGCCAGGATAATAATATTTACCTAACAGGGCTGCTGTGAAGCATCATCAGGGCACGCTCTGGGATGCACAGCATCTCACATGTAGCAGTAACTCCAAGTGTGTAAGCACCCACCCGGCGTCCCCTTGTCCATGGCCTATCTGTCGTTTGGAACTCACCGGCCACTTCTCTCTGTATGAGGAGCCCTGGTCTCCCCAGCTCTCTGGCAGTCACAGCAGTAAAACACCCAGACCTCACCTTTCAGAAGTTTCAAGTTGGCCAAGGAAAGACAAAAAGAACCCAAGGAGGGATGTGTGGAGGAGGGTGGCATTTGAACTGGGCCTTAAAGCTCTGGTGCTCAGACTTCGGTGTGTGTCAGAAAAACCAAAAGGAATTGCTCAAAGGCCAGACTCTTGGACCTCATCCTGAAGTGATTCTGATTCTGATTCAGTGAATCCAGGGCAGGGCCTGGGAACACTGGTGCGGGCCTCCTGAAGCTCATCTGGGAGATGCTGCCTTGAAGACCGGAGGGGGGATTTGACCTTGAATAGTAGGGAGAAGAAGCCAGGAAGTGGGTGGGCCACGAGAGCAAGGGCTGATGGGGCCTCCTCCCTGCCTTCACACTTCAGCCACCTTCTGCCCATCTTGCCCGCCCTCCACTCCGGGGGCACAACTCCAAGCCCATCCCTGCCCAGAGGCTCTGTCATAACTCCCCACACCTCCCAGGTGACTCTACTGATTGGGCCCCATGGCTTTGGTTAGACTTTGTCCTGGAGTCAGGGTGGGCGTGGGGGACAATGCCCAGATATTTATTTCCTTCCTTACCCCCTCCACCTCCCAGCCCCTCACCCCAGCTGCCCCCCGTCTTTGGTTATCAAGCATTTATTAGTGCCAGACCCTCGGGCAGTGTGGTACCAGGCACTGTGAGTCTGCAAAAGGGAGAAAGGCAGGCCCAGCTCAGGGGCCTGGGAGCTTGTTAGACGGACATGCTCAGGCCTCACCCCAGACCTACCGAACTAGATTCTACGCGTAAACGCGATTCCTGGGAGATTCACGTCAACATTTGTGAAGCACTGCTCGGTAGGGTTTTTTTGTTTTTGTTTTTGTTTTTGTTTTTAAAGATTTTATTTATTTATTTGAGAGAGAGAGAATGAGAGACAGCACGAGAGGCAGAGGGAGAGGGAGAAGCAGACTCCCCGCTGAGCAGGGAGCCTGATGCGGGACTTGATCCCGGGATTCCAGGATCATGACCTGAGCCGAAGGCAGTCGCTTAACCAACTGAGCCACCCAGGCGCCCTCGGTAGGGTTTTTAATAAGGGCAATATGGTGGCACAGTCGGCAGAATAAGGACCCCCAAATGATATCCAGGTCACAGTCCCTGGAGCCCATGGATATGTTACTTTACGTGACATTAAGGGAGATTAAGGTAGCAGGTAGAATCAAGCTTGCTAATCAGCTGACTTTTAAAGGAGACTGTCCTGGTTTATCCGGGTGGACCCAGTATGATCACAAAGGTCTTTAAAAGTGGAGGAGGGGGGCAGCAGGGTCAGAGTCAGAGAAGGAGATGTGAGGCTGGGAGCAGAGACCAGAGTGACACAGCGTGACATGGGCTCAACCTACCACTGCCGTCTTGGAAGCTGAAAGGGGGCTGAAAGCCAAGGAATGCTGGAAGCCTTTAGAAGCTCGAAAAGGCAAGGAAAGGGATTTTTCCCTAGAACTTCCAGAAGGAAGGCAGGCCTGCCAATACTTTGCTATCAGCCCAGTGAAACTAATGTCAGACTTCTGACCACTAGACTCTAAGACAAGAAATTTATGTTGTCTTATGCCGCTAAGCTGGTGGCAATTTGTTCCAGCAGCAACAAGAAACTCATACAGTGGTCAAGAGTCTTTGGAGTCAAACAGTTCTGCTCTTTCCTAGCGATGGGGCCCTGGGCAAGTTGCTGGCACTCTTGAGTCTCCGTTGCCCTACCTAGAAGACAGGGATAACCCTGCCTCACAGGACTGGTGCAGAAGTTAAAACAGGAAGCATCTGAAAGGTGCTGAGACCAGGTACTAAGCACATGCTCCCCAAATGGCAATGACTGCCCTCCTTGATCCTAAGTTGCTCCCACCTCTTCCCTGACTCCACCAGGGCCGTGGTGCCAGGCACTCAGGGAGGTTCTCTGCTGGTTCTTTTCTTGGTCCTTGAGGCCATCTTAACTTCACACCTGGCCACCTTTGAACCTGCAACAATATTGCACCTTGCATCAGCTCCTGTGGTGTCAGCCTGTGCGAAAGTAGAAGGCCTGGGGAAGGTCAAGGCCGGCCTTCGGGATACAAGTCAGCGAAGGTCCCTGCAGTGAAATAGCAGATGGCTCATGATAAGACACTTGTACTTGTCAGAGCCCTCAGGGAGCCTCCGACGTCTTTACCCCAACTAGCCCCAAATCGGTAGAGTAGCCAGGGGAAACCAGGTAGTGCACTATAACAAACACCTCACCGAGCTGGCCTGCTCACCCTCCACTCTTCCTAGGGTAAATCAGACCATGGGGCAGCACCTTCTACTCTGTTTCTACCATCGTCATCATCCCCATCATCACTGTATCCTGACTGACATCAAGGACCTACTAGGCGCCAGGCACTTGCTGGACCTCATCCCCTTTGGTTCTCATAGAAGTCCATTGGTCAGCAAGGTCTGCGGTTTCTCAAGGTCACACAGCCAGACAGTGGCAGCACGGGGATTGAGACCTGCACGGTCTGGCCCGGCGCCTCTGCTCTTAACCTTCATCCCGTGCCCTTGGGCTTGCTGCCACGTGCTGGAGGTCTTGCATGGTGCCACCGGCTCAGGGCCGACTCCACGGTCCTCCCTAGGGTGCTTCTCAGATTGCCTGGACTTCTAGGGGCCAGTGGGTGCCCAATAGCCTTGTGGCCTATGGTGCTCAAAATAATAGGCTCAGAGAGGCTCAGAAAAGCCCACCAGCCCTTCAGAGTCAAGGTTCTTGGAGGAGATGTTTATGCTGGGGGCAGACAGGGAGGCCCAGGGCTCAGTCTGACCTTCTGGGGCTGCTGTTCTCGTGGGGGTCTACAATGCTTCCCGACTGCTGTCCGCAAGGGCTGAGAGTGGGAAACCGTGATTTCAGGTGGCAGGCCTGGCGCAGTTTAGGCCCTAGGTCTTTCCAGGATGGAAGGAGCCGCAGAGGTAGACCCTGGCAGCCCCTGGGAGGTCACTGTGCCCCACAGAGCTCAGGCATTCTTACCCTTCACTGAACTCCCCCCTCTGCCCAGCAGCAGCTCCAAGATACTATCACTTTGGGCTGAAGGACAGAGTATGAATGGGGGGAGGCAGGCCAGGGGCTTCTCTTGAGACGATGTTTTTATTACAGACTCATTACTTTGCACTTAGTTGTAGGTTTATTTATTTATTTATATTTTTTTAAGATCTTATTTATTTGACAGAGAGAGACACAGCGAGAGAGGGAATCCAAGCAGGGGGAATGGGAGAGGGAGAAGCAGGCTTCCCGCGGAGCAGAGAGCCCGATGCGGGGCTCGATCCCAGGACCCTGGGATCATGACCTGAGCCGAAGGCAGACACTCAACGACTGAGCCACCCAGGCGCCCCTAGTTGTAGGTTTATTGAGTGAGGTTTGGGGGAGTCGAAGTGATGGGGTCCCCAGGACCCCTCAGGCCACTGCCCGATGCTTGGTGTCATCACAGTTTCTAGTCCTTCTTTCCCGTTTTAGGTTAAGGACAAAATCCTGGCACCTTTTTCTCTTCCTGAGTGGGTGTCTCAGAAGATGTGGGCTCAGCTGATTTGAGTTCAACTAAAGTAAGAATCACCCCTCCACCTGCAGTCCCAAAGGCCCACTGGGGAGGAAGAGGGGATCTCTGGCCCTGGAGAAAGGAAGACTCCCCACTGCAGGTGAGATATGGTGTCTATTTGCTGCAGAGGGGGCTGGGCAGCCTGGGGGCAGCTCCTGGGAGGGGAGGGTTCTGGGGCGGGGGAGGGGATGCAGTACCATCCGTGGTTTCCGCAGGTATAGACAGTCTGCGGGTCTATGTCCTGTTAAGCTGGGCCAGAGAGAGAGAGCCTTTCCTCTGGCCTGTGTGTCCCCCGGGTAGCCAGGCATTCACTACTAAGTTGACCGTGCACTCCTCACCCACCCGCTCCTTCCTGTGACATGAGGGAAGACCAGCCACACTTCTGCGACTCAGGAGAAACATGTGGGTCTAAACCTGCACTACCACTCCATCACGAGATGCAGACTTTTGCGGCAGCTGACATAGAAGCTTTTGCTTGGAGGGCCCAGACCCCACAGGAGGGGATTTTCTTCTGACACCCCTACCAATATAGTTCCCCCAAAAGACTATAATAGTGATTCATCCTCAGGAGAGGATGAGTCCCACAGATCACCCAATGGGGCAGAGAGACTGCACTTTCTCAGTGACCCCCAAGCACAGCGGACGTTGGCTTTCTGGCTCCAGCAACGCATCCTATGAGCCCCTTCCAAGGTGATCACGTCAAAGGGAGGAGGCTCTGCCAACAGAGCATGGCACCTGCAGTCAGCAGCACGTTCTGAGAATCGCCGCTCTCTCACTTAGCTGTGGGGCCCCGGTCTAGACCCTTGGCCTCTGTGTGCCTGAGTTTCCCCATTTGTAAACTGAGGGGGCTGAGCTGGGTAACCTCCAGGGCTTCTTTCAGTCCTGCGGCACTGAGGAAGTTTAGTAAACGCCCCTGAGAGGCAGAAGACCCCATGAAGCCAGAGCCCAGTGCTGGCTGCCCACTCGAGCCAGGCTACTTTAAAACACTGCTGTTTGCCTTATTCATAGCCCAGAACCTTCCTCTGTTGCCCTGGCTTTGTTGGTCCGCAAAACAGGACCCAACGTGCTTCCACCCCATCAGCACTGCTGCACCTGGCTGCCCGCTGGAGTTGTCCAGAGACCTTTAAAACCCTGGTGCTCGCACCTCCCCTCCAGAAAGGATGATTTCATCCATCTGAGATAGGGCATGGCCATTGGCATTCTTTTTTATAAGCTCTCCAAGTGTTTTCTTAGGTGAGGTGTGACCCACTGACCCAGATGTCGCTTGTGAGCCGCCGAAAGGTGACACCCCAGGGATGGGCATGGAAATAGCCGTCCTCCCCACTCCTTGCCTGTTATCCCTTTGTCCTTGCCGGTCGGTGTACGCGGTATATTCTAGTTGCTGGAGCACTGGTCTGTCTGAATGGCTCAAGCAAGGACCCCTGGGGCAGGGGTTCAACCTCCTGCACCCCCTCTCCTGGTCTTCTGTAGGTGCTCAGGGTGGTTTGATGGGTAGAATCAGTGCACTCGGCTCCCCCCGCAACCCCCCCTGACTCCCCAGGGCCCCTGCCCCTAACTCAGGCTTGAACAGTCCTGGTGAGGTTTCTCCCTGCCCCCCTGGGGTGTGGGGCAAGCGTTCGGAGGATGTGTGGAGGGAGCCGTCCCCCCACCCCACTCTCATCCTTGGCTGGGGAGTGTTCCTCGGCAACCGCCCAGCCTGATACCAGATCGGAGTTCACATGATTCTGCCTCAGCTCAGGAATGGGCAGCCTCCTGCTGGGATTTTCTAGACCGAGCTGGGAGGTGTGGTCTGTGGAAAATCTCTGGAGGGGAAGCGCGGGTCCTGGCTGCAGGGTGGCCTGCCTGGGGCGTCCCCCAGGCCCGGCAAGGTGGGTCCAGTCTCCTCCCCCAGGCCTCTGCAGAGCGTCTGGAGGAAGCCCGGGCTATTTGAGGTTTGAGGGCACAGCTCAGCCAGGTGGACGGTCAGAGAAGACCCAGATTCCCCCTTTCCTGCCGCTCACTCCCTGCCTGCTCCTCACCTGGCGGCAGAGACCGTCATCACCTTCTTGGGGTCTGGAGGCTGAGCAAGGCGGGGGATCAGTCCTGCTGCGTCCAAACGGAGGATGGTGACTCATTGGTGGGTCAAGAAATCAATTTAGTAGCTAACGAGCTGCATTTTGAAAACCAAGTAGAAATGATCAGAGTGCAAGTCCTGGGGTAAGTATTGCTTTGGGGAAGTTTGTTTCTCACTGTGCATGCATGCGTGTGTATAATGTCTGTGCGTGCTTGGTTACGATGTCGTGTGTTCTTGCTGTGGCTTGTGGTCGAAAGAGCTTAAAAGGCAGCAAATTCGTGCCATGATGCCGGGTTCTGGATTCAGATCCACCTGACTTACTGTATGAGCTTGAGCCACTGGCTTAGGCTCTCTGGGCTTCAGGTTCTGTGAAAGGGGATAGCCGTGCCAGCCCAGCTGCCTCAGAGGGACAGCCTGAGCCCCGAGGCCCCCCCAGCTCCCCCATGGGACTGAACTTCGAAACAGTTGCAAGGGCTTTAGAAATGATATTGTCTCCTTGTTGTTGGTGCTGGAGTGAGGATAGTTGGGAGCCAGATGGGACCAAGGCAGGCTGCAGCCTGATTTCTACTTGTGTCCCAGAGGGAAATGTCAGCCTCTGAGAGCATGCAGAGGTTTAACCGCTGAAGGGAAGGGAAGCTGGGCCTGCAGGAAACTCCCCGCTCCGTGGGCTCGGGGCTCCGTGAGTAACTGTCTGTGTGCGTGCCTGAGTGCAGCACACGGAAGAGACGCGAAGATTAGATCACTGTTTATGCACCAGCTCAATGCCAGCATCAGGCACCTCCGCCTTCTGGCTGGGAATGTGCAGGAGACTCTCAGCTTGCGTCAAAGAGGCGCTTCCTTCCTTCCTCCCAAAGAGGGCTAGTTTCTCATGGTCATTAAAGTCCTCGGAGACCTCCGTGCTGTTGGACATTTGTGTAAAGATTTGCTTTTAGGTGTTGGGTTGTTTTGTGTAGTCTCTGGGTTTCTTAGCTGGATGATGAAGTGTTTGAGGCAGACGCAGGGGCTCCCCATGTTTGTTCTTTGCCCCGATCCCCACCCCTTGGGCAACCACGGACTGGGCGCACCTTGGGTTTTCCTCAGTGGGTGTTGAGGAAACAGTTGACCTGGTAGAGCACCTGCCAGGGTGCAGGGGACCAGCCCAGGACTAAGCCTGGGGGCCCTCGTGGTGGCATCCGAGGACTGGGGCTCAGTGAAGCCTGGAGGTAGAGGGTGGTTGCTCAGTGATAATCATGACGGACAGAAAGAGAATGTGATGCAGGGGCACCTGGGTGGCTCAGTCGTTAAGCGACTGCCTTCGGCTCAGGTCATAATCCTGGAGTCCCCGGATCGAGTCCCACATCGGGCTCCCTGCTCAGCCAGAAGCCTGCTTCTCCCTCTCCCACTCCCCCTGCTTGTGTTCCGTCTCTCACTGTGTCTCTCGCTGTCAAATAAATAAACAAAAATCTTAAAAAAAAAAAAAAAAAAAAGAATGTGATGCAGAAGAAAGTGTGGGCCGATCTGACTTCAAAACCTGGCCTGCCACATCGTGACTGTGGAATCTTGAGCAGGTTGGTTCATCTCTCCAACCCTCAGTTTTTTCATCTGTAAAGTGAGCCCAGATAAGAGTGGTGTTGAAAGAGAGTGAATGTACGGAAACATTCCTGGTAGGTGGAGGGCTCTCCGCTGATTTGGCTTGGTTCTGCCACTCTGTCTACGTTTTTCCATTTACAGATCACTTTTGCATCCACTGTGTCCCTTGATTTTTGAGGAGCAAGTTTCCTATGGAGACCAGGTACAGAAAGGACACTCCTGGGCAGGGTGTAGTTTCCATCTGGGGGTACGTGTCCTCAGGAACCAGTAGGGGAGGCTGGCTGGGATTAGACCTAGGAGAAAAAGCTGGAGCCTCTGACCAGCTCTGGAGGCTTGAGCAGATGCTCGGCTGCTGGAGTGGAGGCTAGAGTAAATCTTCCTTCTTACTTTTCTGTTTCTATTAATGACAGCCCCACTGTCCCAGCACCCAACCTCAAACCCATCTACCTATCCAGTCACCCATTCATCCATTTCTCTACCCATTAACCCATCCATCTATCTGTCTACTCCTCGCCCATCTAGCTGTTTACACATTCAGCTACCCATGCATCCACCCATCCATCTATCTCTCTACCCATTCACTTACTCATCTGTCCATCTACCTTCATGCATTCATTTATTCATCCACCTGCCCCCCATCTATCCACCCATTCACCTATCCACCCACCCACCCACCTACCTCACCACCTCTCCACGCATCTACCAAGTAATTTTTGAGAGCTTACAAGGACCAAGCACTGAGGAACATCTCAGATTTGCCCCTGACTCAGATTTGTCCATCTCCCTTCTCATTAGTTGTCAGTTGCTACAGCTTCTTGTCTCCCCTCTGGCCATGCTTCCTCATACCTAGACCCTGTCATGCCAGGCTACTGTCAGTTCCCCAAAAGTGCCCATCATCTCTCATAGTTGGCCGGTTGCACACATTGTTTCCACAGACAGAAACTCCCCTCTGCTTGGGCAGCCCTTCCCCCTTCTTCTGTCTTAGCCTAACTTGCTGCTCAGGAAGGCTTTTTGGGCTGGGTTGGGTTACCTCCTATGAACTCCCTTAAAATCCTGTGCTCTCTTTAGGAGCTGGTTTCACCTGTCTTCTTCACTGTCCCATGAGAGTAAATGCACCTTGAGTTACACTAAGTGACCGTGTCTAGCACAGTGGCTTCCATACAACAGATACTCAATAAGTATCTGTTGTATGAATGGATAAATGAATGGATGGATGGATGGATGGATGGATGGAGGGCCATTGAAGGATTTGAAGTAGGAATGATTATGTTAGATTTGCATTTTAGAGGATGGCCTTAAGGGTGGTAAGATGGAGCCAAGAAATCCAATAGGAAGCCATTGCACTGATTCTGGGGATGAAGCCTTGACCAAGCCAGTCTAGAGCACTGGTGAGGAAACTGAAGAGGAACAGACTGATGTGGGAAATATTTAGGAGCTGAAAATGGTAGAACTGGGTAATTAACTGGAGGCTTTGGATGAAGATGAGGAAAGAAGCTGAAGGCCCTTTAACTGGGCAGGTAGAGATGACCCTTCCAAGAGCAGATTCATGCAGAAATGAGGGAAGTGGGGTGGGCCTGACTGACCATGTCCGGTGAGGCAGCGGGACGCTGGTTTTGTCCACCGTCCACCTGGTGGGAGGTCTAGGAGTCGTAGAGTGCAGATGGGGTTGAAACCAGAGAGGCATGCTGTCCCCCAGAGGATGTGTGTGGTGTGAAAAGAACAAACCAACATTAAATGTGAGTGTGAGGGATGCTCACAGCACCGCCATACACTGCCCCCGGGTAAGAGTAAGTTATGCCTATGAGATTGGAGGTTCCCTGAGGGTGGGAGAAATCCAGAGGAACTGGACTCTTGGGCAAGCCACTCCATCTCTCTGGGCCTCAGTTGCCTCATCCCTCAAATGGGGGAAATAACAGGGCCTTTGTGAAGATGGGGGAGAGCAGATATGAAATGCTCCGCAAACTGTAAAAGATTTTGCAAATACGAGGTGTAAGTACCCCGACAGATCCAGTCACTGTTTGTCGAGAGATTGAATCAGGCTATTGACCTTGCATGGGCTGTATCCTGGTTCTGCCCACGAGGTCCTGCTGGGTCCTAAATTTCCCTTCCAGCCACCTCTGCTCCCCAGCTTGGGAACTCATGTTATCTGGGTGCTTATCCTGCCACTTACCAGGAGCCAAATCCCAGACGTTCCAGACGTTTGAGCGCCTGGCTACACAGGAGTGTGCTTCATGGGTCCGCTGCACCAACATCACCTTAGGAACACGCTGGACATTCCCAAGCCCCACCTCAGACCCACTGACTTAGAAACACTGAAGGTGAGGCTCAATAATCTGTTTTAAACAAATCTTCCAGAGCACTCTAATGCACCTAAATTGAAAACCACGGCTCTTAAAACACCCTTTTTCTACAAGGGAACGTAGGAAGTGCTTTAATCTAAACATAGTAAATGTCTCTTCTTTGCCCTGCAGGCTTGAGTATTTTTGACTCTGACTGCCAAATTTCGATTATTGTTGGCCTAGGAAAGAGGAAGGGACACGCTGTTGCCCCAGCACTGCCCCGTCCCCCACACCCCTGCCCCCCACACAGATACACACTCACGGCCAGTAAACAACAGGCTTCAGCCTGGTGACTCTCAGCGAATTCCTAAGACCTGACAGCACGTGTTTTTCGCTATGGCTTCATTCGCCCTGGGTGAGTGCTCCTGGGAACGGCTCGGGGCCCTGGACTGCTGTCCGCTTCTCATATGGAAGCCAGCCGAACCATCTGGCCCCGCAGGTGTGGGCTTGGGATTCAGGGATAGGGGGGCTGGCAAGAGGAAGGTGAACGGAGCCACAGTTTGACACACTGGGCAGAGTTTTGGGGTCACAGGCCTCAGCTGCCCCTTTCCCCTTCTTCTCACCATCAAAACATATAAGCAGAACCAAAACACACAAAAAGCAAAAAAACCCAAAAAACGAAAAACAAGAAAATGCCCTTGTGCACCACTGGTGGGCATGTAAAATGGTGCAGCTGCTGTGGAAAACAGAGTGGCAGTTCCTCAAAAAATTAAAAATAGAACTACCATCTGATCCAGTAATTCCACTTCTGGGTATCTACCCAGAAGAGCTGAAAGCAGGGACGCGAATAGATAACCGTACATCCATGTTCATAGCAGCATTATTCCCAAAAGCCAACGGGTAGAGCAGAAGCAAGTGTTCACTGACAAATGAATGGAAAAACCAAATATAGTAAATACATACAATAGAATATTATTCAGCCTTAAAAAGGAAGGCAATTCTGCAATATGCTACAGCATGAATGAATCTCGGGGACATTTTGCTAAGTGAAATAAGCCAGTCACCAAAAGACAAACCCTGAACGATTTCTCTTAGACGAGGGCCCTAGAATAGTCACATTCACAGGAACAGAGAGTAGAATGGTGGGTGCCAGGGCCTGGGGTGGGGGGCAGAGGGGGATGGGGAGCTCAGTTAGTGTTTCATGGGGACAGAGTTTCAGTTTGGGACGATGAAAAAGTTCTGGAGACAGATGGTGGTGCTGGTTGCATGACAGTGTGACTAATCAACTGTACATTTTAAAATGCTTTCCGTGGTAAATTGTATGTTATATATATATGTAACCACCATTAAAAACACCAAGAAGCACTCCCCTCCACCACCATCACTGAGATTCCAGGCTTGTGTAGGATGGAGAGCTGAGCCCGACCGGGCATCCTCATCTTCTGGAGACTGAGAGTTTGGGAGCGAGCCTCAGCTGGGGATGGCTGTCAGGAGGCAGGGAGGTGGGACATGCAGCAGGGAGACCCAGGCTTCCTTCCTCAGTCAGGCTTCGGGCGACCTTGGTTTCCCCACCTGTGAAATGGGGCGGTGGCATTCACTTATTCCTTCCAGCAGTGTTTATGAGAGCCTCTGAAGTGCCAGGCACAGTTCAAGGTGCACCTGGCCTCTGGCCTCTTGCAATTCACATCCCCGTGGAGGAGACAGATCAGCAGCCGCAGTCAAGTTAACCGACAAGAGCAATCTCGGATGCTGCTGGGGGCTCTGAGGAGCAGTCAAGCAGGAGGTGTGAGGGTTACCGGGGAGGGGGCTACTTATGTGGGGTGGTCAGCTGAGATCTTGCAGAAAAGGAGCCAGCCCTGCTGTGGAGGTGGAGGTTGCGGGGGGGGGGGGGTGTGTGTGCAGGGGACAGCTCTCCCGAGAGACAACGGCTTATGCAGCCGAGGCCTGAGCCGCAGACAGCTGGGTTTTATGGCTAATGCATGGTGGTGGTGGGCGAGGCCGAGGGAGCTGGGCGGGGCCGGATCACGCTGGGCCTTGAAGGTCCTATCAGGAGTTTGGGTTTTACTGTAGGTGTGATAAGAAGCCATCTCAGTGGCTTTTAAGCAAGGAAGAAGAGGACCTGGTTATATTCTAGAAAGAGGGCTGTGGCTTCCATGTGGGTCATTGGCGGGGGACGAATGGGAGAGCTGGGGTGGGGGAGGGAACCATGTGAGGAGGGTAGCTTTGGTAGAACCATCTCTTGCCCGTCTAGAGACCCTTATGAAAGCTACAGGGTCCTTCCCCAGGAAGAATGCCCATACTTACTTATTTACAAGATTGAGCAGGGGGTTGCAGGGGCATCTCTCAAGTTTACCCTCCCTGCACCCCAGGACTGGAACTGCTGGGCTGGGTGTCTCTGAGCCCCTTCCCTGCACGCTGCACCCGCTTCCAGGCTGAGCCCTGGCTCCAGGGGCCACGGGGCCAGGCAAGAGCCACAACAGAGCTGCAGGGGTGAGGCGGCGGAGGGAGGGGCTGTGGTCAGCAGGTGGTGAGGTGGCTGCCCGGCATACTCTGAGGGGTCTCCCTTCTGGGTCCCTGAGTCGCAGCTTGACTATGGTGGAGAGACAATGCAAGGGGCAGGGTGGATCTGCTGATACTTCAAAACAGCTTAATTCAAACCTCCTCACTCATTCAGAATTTGCAACCCTATGGACTGTACCTGCTCGAGGCGGGGGGTGAAATTGGTTCTTGGGTGGGGTGAAAAAAAACCCTTAGCTATTACAATGATTTGTCACCCTTCCAAGGGTCACAGTACACAAACAGATGTGCAATATATTTGGGGTATTAAAATTTCACAGAAAGGGGGCGGTCAGGGGAAAAAAAGTGGCTAACGAGGCTCTCTGGGAGGATGATTCTTACACAAACAAAAAATTAGAAGTCCTGATTTAGAAACAGTGAGATTTTTCAGTGGGGCCAGAAGCGTTCAATCAGTAGAGTAGCTCAGGCCTTTCGTTTCGATATATTAATTTATAAAGTGGACTCACAAGAGAAATCTTTGTTCTCTCTTGTTCAAATGTATTTGTACACGTAGAAGTAGCATTTTTTTGTTGTTGTTAAATTCTCAACAATATGAGCTTTCCACCAATGTTAAGACTTGCCATATTTTACTCTGCCTCTTTGCCTCTGGTGAAACAATGCTGTGGATTTTGGCATCCGTCATTTTACGTGGCCCTGATGCTGACCCGAGGACAGGTGTTTCTGTGCCCACATTACAGATGAGGACACTGACACTCAGAGACGGGAAATCGCTCGCACAGCCTGTAAGCGGCTGACCCTGGCCTCGCACGCATTTCTGTTGGTTCCTTGTGTTGTTCCCTGCGCTGGGTCCTCAATTCCACAGAGAGGGGGTGAGGTAGCACCTCCTGATGAGCACCCAGGAATCCAGGCAGTGCCCCGTGGGAAGCATGCTCTTTGTTCCTCCTCACCAGAGCACAATAGGACGAGGCAAGGTTGGGCCCCTTCTGGGCTGTCCGGAAAGGCCCCCAGAAGGGGCTGTGGCCTCAGGGCTAACTGACCTGGTACATTCTTGGGAGCAAGTAGGAAAACTGTGAATGATGCATAGTGCTGTCATAGGGAGAGGGGCCGGGGCCCTTGCTGTTGTGTGCGGGTTGGAATTGGTCTTTACCTTGAGCGGCCCTTGGAGAGCGGGGCTCGGGATGAGGCTGTGCTCACAAGAGCTCCTAGCCTTCCTTGCTGCCCTGAGAGACCAGGAAAATAAATAAGGGATAGGAAGCCAGGGAGCGGGGATAGGGAGGCACAAACCACCATTGAGTGTCTTGGTGCGTGACCAAGGTAGCCAACTAGATAGTCGAGTTGAGTTGAGGTTGGCCCAGTCTTCTCCATTGCGTGAGGCGCTTAGAACGGTACCTGACACCCAGCAGGGCTACATAAACGTCAGCTGCTATCATCCTAAGCCCTTCCTGCCTTTACCTTTCAGGGGCTTACCCACCACCCAGGAGGCCCAGCTTTTGGTACAGCTTGAGCCGCAGCCAGCGAACAAGATGGCTGTAGAGAGACCGGCCCGGTCCCTGAGCCGGTGAGGGGCGAGGCGCCCGGCGCCCTGAGGCCCAAAGATGGGGAACGTCACTGCAGAGAACAGCTCGCTGTGCGCCATTGACCACACCATCCACCAGACTCTGGCCCCGGTGGTCTACGTCGTGGTGCTGGTGGTGGGCTTCCCGGCCAACTGCCTGTCCCTCTACTTTGGCTACCTGCAGATCAAGGCCCGGAACGAGCTGGGCGTGTACCTGTGCAACCTGACCTTGGCCGACCTCTTCTACATCTGCTCGCTGCCCTTCTGGCTGCAGTACGTGCTGCAGCACGACCACTGGTCGCACGGGGACCTGTCCTGCCAGGTGTGCGGCATCCTCCTCTACGAGAACATCTACATCAGCGTGGGCTTCCTCTGCTGCATCTCCATCGACCGCTACCTGGCCGTGGCCCACCCCTTCCGCTTCCACCAGTTCCGCACGCTCAAGGCGGCCGTGGGCGTCAGCGCGCTCATCTGGGCCAAGGAGCTGCTGAGCAGCGTCTACTTCCTCATGCACAAGGAGGTGGTGGAGGACGAGGACCGGCACCGCGTCTGCTTCGAGCACTACCCCCTGGAGCCATGGCAGCGGGGCATCAACTACTACCGCTTCCTCGTGGGCTTCCTCTTCCCCCTCTGCCTGCTGCTGGCCTCCTACCGGGGCATCCTGCGGGCCGTGTGCCGCAGCCACGGCACCCAGAAGAGCCGCAAGGACCAGATCCAGCGGCTGGTGCTCAGCACCGTGGTCATCTTCCTGGCCTGCTTCCTGCCCTACCACGCTCTGCTGCTCGTGCGCAGCCTCTGGGAGGCCAGCTGCCAGTTCGCCAAGGCCGTCTTCAACGCCTACCACTTCTCCCTGCTCCTCACCAGCTTCAACTGCGTGGCCGACCCCGTGCTGTACTGCTTCGTCAGCGAGTCCACGCACCGGGACCTGGGCCGCCTCCGGGGGGCCTGCCTGGCCTTCCTGAGCTGCGCGGGCCCCGGCCGCGCCCGGGAGGCCTACCCGCTGGGCGCCGCCCAGGCCTCGGGGAAAGGCGATGAGCCCGAGCTGTTGACCAGGCTCCACTCGACCTTCCAGACGCCGAACTCGCCCGGAGCCGGGGGGTCGCCCGCGGGCGGCGTGGCCTAGCCGGGGGTCTCGCCGTGGGGGGGCAGGGGCCTCCTTCTGCCAGAGGGAACCATGGGCCGCGGCCCGCGCGGCAGGACCTCTCTGGTCCCGGGGAGCCCGCTCCAGCTTGCTGGGCCCGGCGGGGATGAGCCCTGTCGGTTCCTGGGGGTTGTCTGGTGCGGGCGGGGCTTCTGGCGAGGGGAAGACGGCCAGTTGTCACCTCCACGGGGTTCTCGAAGAGAAGCTGCCGGGCGGGGCGGGGGAGGGGGTGGTGCAGAGTGTGAGGACATGGAGGATAGGGACTGGGGGGAGGCGAGGGTGGGGCACCTGGGGGCACACGTGCCAGGACCTTCCAGTGCCATTGTCACGGATGACACCTCTCCTTGTGGGGAAGTGCCTCCTGGGGACACGACACATGAAGCTGTATTGTCATCATTAACGCTCGGGACCCACCCGTTTGTGGGAAGAGGACCTGCCAGGAGGAGGTCGGACGGGGAGAAGAGATGCATGGTCGGGGACAGTGAAGGGAGTGACAGGAGAGGAGAGACCCCAGCTCTAGGCATGTCTCACGTTCAGAGGGAGAGTTGAGCGGATTCCCCAAGCCCCGGGACTGATAGAGGACAAATCCCAGGGCTCCCCGGGGCTCCCTGGGGCCATGTCTGTGTCCTTTCAAACAGGCAGTACTGAAAGCTCTGTGTCAGGACGGAGTTCCCAACACACAGAGTCCCCCTAATTAGTTTTCTGTTTCCATCTGCCCAGAAGCACTGGGCACGGAAGCCAGGGCTTGTGTGCGTGCGTGCGTGTGTGCGTTAAAACGCCAGGGTCTCCATGAGAGCTCTGTGCCAAGACACTGAGGCTGGGGTTATGTGAGTGCTGGTGGTGTTGCCCCCCCCACCCCAGTTCCCGCCTTTGTCCCCTGCCACACACCCTGTGGAGCGTCTAGCAGTCTCAGGAGCATGACATGCTCTCCGTGTTCTCAGATACAACAAAGCAAAACAGAGACACGTTCTCGAGCATCTCTCAGCCCAAAGGCCTGGGGTTAAGCTCCACAACGGTTTAGATAGCCCCTAGGACAAGGAGACGAGGGGGCCCCTGGGCTCGTCCTGCCCCCTTTCTTCTCCAGCACTGCTCCTTTGCCAGATGTCCCACGTCTCCACGTGGAGAGTGATAGTGGGCCCCAGGTAGCCCAGCGTACTGACGGCCACCTCTCTGCCATCATCTTCTGTCCCAGAAGCCTCGGTATGGGTCTCATCTCTCCTACAACTTTGTGCCCAACCATGTTGAGCCTCCACCCTGGTGAACACAACCAAGGACCAGAAGAACTTCTTGCTGCCCCAAGGATCTGGCCACCTTTGCAGAAATGCTAGCCCTTCAGATTTCCCGGTCGGCGGGCTGGGGCCAGCTCTGACTTCCCTCAGAGTTCTGGATTCCAGCTCCCCACACCCAAGGGGCTAGGTGGACTCAAGCCTTGAGAGGGACCAGGGATGGGGAGATACAAGCTGGCATCCACAGAACATTTCTGGAATCTGCTAAAAGGAGGGCCAAGGAGAACATTTCAATCTCTCTTCCCCTCTCCTCCCGTCCTTCTCTAAGAGGCAGATTTATCCTGAGTCTCTGATACCTCAGGTTGGAAGTGGCTTTGGCTTTGACTGGGTAGCCCTACGCTAGCTCCTTATGGAGGGCCTCCCATAACCTGGGGTGCCTCTCTTCCCCTTCCTGAAGGAGGAAGTGACCGGATCTGAAGGTGGCAGAAATGGCCATACTGCCAAGAAAAGTCTGCCCAGTCCCAGCCCAGAATCTTACTGGGGCGATGGCACTGGTTGAGGCCTCCATGCCTCCTCATCCCAAATTTCCCCCTATTTTGACCTTAAACATGGGCATTCCCACTGGGATGGACTGGGATGAGCTGAGGGCAGTTCCTTTTACTATCAAGAGTTGTATTTTTGTATTGTCTTCTCTTTTATGCCAAGTATGTGTGTGTTGGACTGTGCAATGGAGTTATGTAGCAAACTTGAGTCTGCAAATAAAGCAAAGTAGCCAGCCACAGCTGGAGTGTGCTACAGTCCTTATGGGGAAGGAGGATCTTTCAACACCACGGGGATCTAGAGGGCTCTTGAAATACCCAGCAGAGTCAGGAAGTTCCAGGATTAGCTTTCTTAGAGAAAACTCAGAGAAATTAGGGTATTTGCCCTTGGTCACCCAGCAGTGACCAAAAAGGATGGAGCCTTCAAGTGAAGTTGGGTCTTCTCTCCCTCCTCTTGAGATTCATAAAGTATCTTCAACTCTTTAGCACATTGTTGCAAATCCACTCTGGGACTTAATTTGGCCCCCTCCCTTTTGAGGACAGAGCCCAGCCCTGTGATTTGGAGAATATCACTGTCCTTGGACAACATGATCCCTTCTACCCTCCAGGGTCTGTTCCCCACAGTGAGGAAAGGCTTGATCAGGCCGACCACCCTCCTCATTAGCAAAGATTGCCAAAGTAGAAAGACCTGTTGGACTCATCTCTTGGGGCTCTCCTCACTGCTTGGGCTTTGTTTGGGGAGGCTCACATTTGTTGGCCAGCCCTTTTAGGTTTTAGCATCTTCTCAACAGTGACAGGCTACATATTTATTGCTCAAGATCAACTGCATCATATTAAAATGTAAATTTGGTTTTGGTTACTTAATCCTTCTCTGGGTCAGATTCCTGGAGTCCTGAAGGATTCTGCAAGAATTGATCCTTCTTCCAAACAGACTAAGTGAGGACATCATTGGGGATTAAGATTCCTTTCTCTCCTGAGAGAATGGATGGAGGAAAAGGCCCATCTGGTTTGGACAGAAGGTGACAGAGTCATTAGATTCCTTTCTTATTCACCAGTGTTGCTTAGCAAGATGAGGGCTCATCTTCCTGTTTATATACACTGGCCTGTGGGTTGGCCAGACAAGAGTGGGAGAAATTTTCAGCACAGAATACATCCCCATCTGCTGCTTTCCTCTGAATGGTATAACCAAAAGAGCCAGAAGGTGGTCTGCTTGGTTCAGTGCTTTTCTGAAAACCCTGCTTCTTGAAGCTGGTGATCCCATAGCCTCCATGCCTGGAACTCATCTAGCAAGACAATGGCCTTTGACGGCAATCATCCTGAAGTCACAATGGTACCCAATGACCAGGAGAAATGGTAGGATTTCAATTCCATCTGCTTTAATTCAACAACTATCAGGACACTGCTAGATTAGACATTAGATAGCAGTGCTGGAATGTACCATAGAGGTCATGATATCCAATTTTCTCTCCATTGAATTATCCCAGCTATATCCTCCCCCCCCCCCCCCCCCAATGATGGTCCAGTTTCTGAACAAATACTGCTAATGACACCAATTTGCTACTAACCAGCATGATTCATTCCAGGGTTGGGGCTGGCCATCAACAGGGCCTTCTCAAAGAGGGGCAGGAAATGAATTCAGAGGAATGTCTTGCCCAGATGAGCAATGGGATGGCCTTTGACCAGAGGACAGCAGGGGGCTAAGGAACCCTGACCCCATTAGCTGGCTGGCTTGCCTTTGAGTCCCACTTCCTGCAGGGTCTACAGGGCTTGTGCTCCTTGGTGTGCCCAACGTCTCCAGCCTGCCCTTGAACACCCAAAGAGCACCTCAGACCCAGCTTGCCAGGAGCCCTCCTAACATTCCTGGAAATGCCCAGAGATGTTCACCTGCCCCACAAATCCATCCTGCTGGTGGCCCAGCCCATCTCTTCCCCTGGGCCGCCCCGCCATTCCCTATAGGACACTCTTGTCCCACTGTAACTGGCTTCTCCAGGCCAGAGCCATGCTCACCGTGCTACCCCAGACGTGGACACAGGCTTTTTATCAAAACACAGATAAGACGAGGACCAACTTGAGCAAAACTTTACTAAAGGCTTGACCAGGAATCTTACTGCAGAATAGAAACACAAGAAAACCGGATCCTGGAGCTCAGAGCTCCAGTGGTCCCTGGGCTGGACCCTGCTGAGGGATCTACTCCTGGCTCTCTCTTGCACCTTCGACCATTTCTCCCTGCAGAGGGGCCTTTGGGTGCCTCACTCCAGAGTGAGGACCCTCACTCTCAGCCTTCTCTGGGCTCCACCCGGGTCTCGGCCTCTTTCCCAAACAACTTCATCATCTCCCCATAAACTTCTGGCCACAGTGCAGATAACCTATTACACAGTCCTGCCTTAAACTGCTCCATGCCGGAACAGAACTCTGTTATTACTATTGCAAAACCCAAAGCCCATTAGTGTCTTCCCCCAAAATATGAATCAGAAGAGTGATGGCAGCTTTACCGACATGATGTTTTCTCTTCCCTAGGCATCGAGACTTCAAAAATGCCAGGGGATGCTCTCGAGACCCCGCAGGACATGGAGCTCTGCAGTCGCATGTCAGGGACCAAAACTGTCACTGGAGGATCCCGGGCCCTCCGTGGGAGTGGGAGTGGGGGTGAAGCTTGGGGCCTGGAGGGACTCGGTGAGCTGTGAGAAGCTGCAGATGGAGGGAGCGTGAGCTCATCACAATGAGCACATCAGCCCTGAGCCCACGCCAGCCGAAGCACAGACCTGTAGGTGGGGACTCCCGGACACAATGACAAGGGGAGGTCAGGACAGTCCCCACCCCGGCTGCTTCCGGCCAGGGGCTTGGCCATGCTGCGGCGTGGGGAGCACTGGAATTGAATCCCTGATTGCTTACTCTACACTTCGGCTCTAACTTCTACTGTTGAGCAATTTAGAGTAGCAAGTGTTCCATGCTTTACAACTAACGTCCCTTAAAGAACTGAGGTAGACATGTTTAAGGAAATAAAATGAAGCAGCTGGGGCTGCAGCTGGGAAGCCGGACTCTTCCATCTGGATGAGTCAGGCATCACTCAGCCGTGAACTAGCACAAGATACCATCCTCATTCGATACAGGAGTGTAATGGGATGTGGTCAATGACTCTGCTTCTAATTTTGTTGGGAAATGTGCAGTGGAAGATTGTGAAGGAGATGTGGGCGAGCTGACTACTGTTGTCCAGAAGGATCCTGTGAGCCACCTGAGCCCAACACCATCCCGACCCCTTCCCCCAAGCTCCAGGAGTGTGCCTGCCCTCCTACATGGGGAAGCCAAAGCCTCCGGCTCTGGCCTGGGGCTGAGCATATGGGGAGGGAGTGGGAGAAGTGTCAGACTCCTAGGGGTGGGGGGTGTCAGGACCTGTGGGAGTGAAGGGAGGTGGGGGCCTCACAGAAGGTGATGGTGATAAACGTAAGGCTTGAAGGCCCACGCAAACAAAACGTTGTTTGAAAAAGAAAGCATTTCAGAGGTATAAATATTTTGGTGCTGGTGGTAAAGTCCCAGAGCTTCGTAAATAGACACTACGTATTTGTACATTTTACTATTTCTTAGTTAGCCTGGGGGATTATTCACGGCCCTGGTCGTGCGTGCTCTTCTGTCTGCCTGGCAAGGAATATTTTTGCGGGTGTCCCCATGCGCGGTTGGTCAGCTGACTCTCACCACGTGGGTGCCCTGAAGGAACCAGGAGGAGGAGGGTTGAAATCAAAGCCTCTAAGCACTTAGGAAGAAAAGAAAAAACCCCAAAGAACCATTCTCCTCGGTCCGTATCATCCGCACGGTCCCGTCCCAGGCAGTGGTCCTGCAGGGTCCCAGGTGGGGCTCACCCAGGGCCAGTGTTTATGTGCATAGCCTTCGTGGAAAGAAGCCGGGGGCCCTCGGGGAGCTCCTCCCGAGGTCCAGGCACGGCCATCTGGTATGCGGTCCACGGGCACAGTCACACGCACACTGTGGCAACATCCACCAGCTTCTGGACCATCTGGGCGTGGGTGCCGTGGAAGGGCAGCCCGTCCACCTCCATGCCCACGACGCCCGAGACTCCACTCCGAACTTTGTGCCGCACCAGGATGCCCAACATCTTTTCTTCCTGGAAAAAAAAAATGAGAACAGAAACAGAAGGGGTGGAGGGGGAGGAAAAAGAAAGAGATGCATACATTTATAAGCGGAGGAAGAGTGTTTGACTCGGCATGGTCTCTTTCTTAAAAATAAAATTTCGCGTATCCATACAAATGCCACTGGGAGACTCATCATGAAGAATAGGTGGCCTAGGGGCGCCTGGGTGGCTCAGTTGGTTAAGCAACTGCCTTCGGCTCAGGTCATGATCCTGGAGTCCCGGGATCGAGTCCCACATTGGGCTCCCTGCTCGGTGGGGAGCCTGCTTCTCCTTCTGACCCTCCTCCCTCTCATGCTCTCTGTCTCTCATTCTCTCTCTCTCAAATAAATAAATAAAATCTTAAAAAAAAAAAAAAAAAAAAGAATAGGTGGCCTACATCACGCCCCATCTGCCCCAGACCCACTCCTCAGAAGCAGCAACTTCAAGCAGTTTGGGGTGTTTCTTCTGGGAATTATGGTCATGTAACTAAATGTGGTTTTGATGGAAAACTGAATTTAATGCTTGTTCAAAAAACCCGGAAGATTCACTTCTGTGGGGTACAGCGTGGGCTACTTCCTGCAACCTAGCCCCTGCTCAGCTCCGGTCATCTGCCAGTGTGGGCCATGTCCCATCTCCTGCTGCAGGTGTCCTCTCCTCCAGTGTGGATGTGGGAGGCTCGGAGGGAGCAGAGCCCTGCACAAAATGCAGCCTGATCCTGGGCCCAGCAGGCAGGCTTTGGGATCAGACAGATCTGACGTGGGTCTTTCCTGGCAGATGTTTTAACCTCTCTGTGCCTCAGTGTCCTCATCTGCATAATGGGGATGTTGATGATACTAATAGTAATAATGTCTCCTGAGTGGGTTGTTATAAGGATTAAATGAGATAATGCAAATAAAGCACCTAGTGTGGCCCTTGGCACACAGTAGGCGCTCATGAAATCAGGTAAGTTATTATTGGCAGCATTGGGTCCCCTGGCCTCTTGCCCAGGGCTTTTTTCCTTTGACATACTTGCTGATTTTTTTTTTTTTTAAGTGATTTGATTCGCTCCCTCTCTTCCCTTCAAAAGTAAGGTCCCAAAGAACTACTTGTATACTTGCCCATCATGCGTCTCTCTCTGGTTGAAAAGTTCTGATCCCCCCTGAGGAAGGTGAAGACACAAGGAGAGAGGATGGTGCCCGAGGGGCAGAAGTCCTGCACATCCTCTCCCTCATCCTCCACCAGCAGAGGAGGGGGAATGGGTGGAGGAGGCCAAGGGCTCTACAACAGGAAGGTTAGGATGGGTCTGAGAAGGGCTCTCACCTTCCTCCCTGGGCACCTGCTCATTCATCCCATCCCCCATCAAAGTTTTCTTGAGCACCTGCTACATGCCAGGCCCTGAACCAGGGATACAGTGGTGAATGGGACGCAGTCCCTGCCCTGGGGGCTTCACGGTCTAGATGAGTGATCAGGCAGGCATATGAGAATCATAGCACAGAGCAGGGGCATCCCACCCCGTTTATCAGAGTGGCTCAGGAAAGACTTTCTGGAGGAGGGGCAGCTAGGACCACAGGTGACCAAAGAGCTGGAATGAGCCAAGCCAGGGGCTAGGAGGAGCACTCACTGAAAACTTGTCCAAACAATGGAGAACGTGCTGGCAAAGGTCACATGGGAATTGCCTCTATTCAAGGCTGCCCTGAGAGTCTGCACCCAAAGTGCATTTCCTGGCATCTCTTTGTCCACCAGCCCCTTCCCAGAGGCTGCCCAGCCCAGAATGACATTTCCTGCCCTTTGTTTGGGTTTTATTCTTCCATTTCTCTCTCCATTGGGTCATATCCTTTCTTTATGGGGGAGTGCTGCTTCTGGGACCCGGGAGTGGAGGGAGGGAGCGTTTCCTCCCAGCACACTGCCTGCTGGCACCATTCCCATCCTTCCGGGCCCTAGGGAGGACCTTGGGGTGCCAGGGTGCATGTGATCCATCAGCAGCTTAGGGACGGGCTGGCACTCAGCCTCTAGAAGAGCCACGAGGAACAGCTGGGCCAATAGGGACTGCCTGCAAATTTCCAGGAATCACTGAACTGCCACAGCATCTTCCAAGAGACCCCACCAAGTAGAGGAGGTGACAGAAGGAGAGGAGAACTGAGCTGGAGGCAGAGCACCTGGAGGCCGTGACCCCAGGCCAGGCGGAGACAGTGTGGCATGACAGGAGGGACAGAGGCCTGAAGTGAGACAGAGAGGACAGGGCTTGGGGCCCAGTGCATTGTGAGCAGGGAAAGAGGCCCAGATGACTTCTGGGCTTGGAGGCTGAGCGTGAGGGTAGTCGCTGGGGCTCACACGGGGAGCCTGGCAGGCTGATGTTCATGGGTGGGTGATGGTGCTCTTCGAAGTGGGGCGGGAGAAAGCGGCCTTCTGGAAGTCAGAACTGTTCTGTGTCATGACCTCAGCACTGGCTGCATGGATGTGTACATGTGTAAAAATTCATCTACTGTTTGTGCATGTCTTTATTCTATGTAACTCAGTGTTTAAAAGCTAGAAAGAGAAGTGGAGTGGGATGGGAGTGCTGGAAGAGAACAGGAGCCCAGGATGAAGCCATGTTCCTGCCTCTCTGCGTTATCCCTCTGTCCGTCCGTCCATCCATCCATCCACCCATCCTTAGTCCCTCCCATAAGGTGTCATCAATCAGCTCGTAGGCCCTGACAAGGTCTGAGGAATGCCCTCAGATAGACCTCCCGGGCATGGCAAAAGCCCAGAGCGGGCAGGGTGTGCCCTAGATGGTGGCGGCCGCCGCCCCTGGGATCCTCCGCATGGTGCTCACACTGCTACAGCCACGATCAGATCAGACCCCTGAATACGGGAGGCCCCGAGTTACAAGCAACTCACAGAGCAGAGATGAGGAGCATTCCTTACCCCCCAGCCAATCAAGCTGCACCGTCCGCTCAGGCCACAGCTCTGCCCAGCACTTCTCGATGACTCGGGGATGCCTAGGGAGTGACCTACAGAGCCCTAGTATGATGATTCCAGTTCTTTCTCCTGCACACTGCATTTCTTCACGTGCCTGCACCTTTGCTTTGTGGGTCTTGCTGCCTGGAGGCCCTTCCCACCCTTTCTTACCTGGTTACTTATAGCCTACTCACCTTCCAAGGCCCAGCACAGTACTCTCTCCTCTAGGCAGCCTTTCTTGAGCCCTCGGAGTGAGCTAAGGGCCTGTTCTCTGTCCCCACAGCAGCTTGCCCTGCACACTTCTATCCTTCCATCTTCCATGCACCCTCAGGGGATCCCAAGTTCCCTACCCAGGGGCTGGGTCTGACCCCTCATTGTCTCCCAGAGCAGGGCTGGTCTGGCCCGGAGGAGTGGCTCAACACAAATGGGCTTATACTTTTGCTTTGATAAAGTTCCCTTTTATTTTCCTTACAAGGGTGATACATCATTAATGTATTTATGAAGGACTGTGTGGAAACCCGAAAGGAGAATTTTCCATCCCTGGAGGGTAAGTGTTTGGGTTCTATGAATTTGTCTGGCTGGATTCATTCTTTGGTGTCTGTGTGAATCAGGAATCATGTGTGAGGCAGCCCCCTGAGGCTTTTTTTTCCAGTTCAGATCCAGGAAATGCAAAGAAAGCACCCAAGGCCCTCTGGGCCCCACTGGGGCAGACCATTTCCCCTGAAAATGTCACTTCAGCTGCTCTAGTCCTCCCCGCCCCCCAAACGTGGCACCCTGGCATTACCAGGAACCGGGAAACTTCTGAGTCATGGGAAGAGCCCAGAGAATGGAGTCAGAGACCCAGGCTCAGGTCCCAGTGCCACCCCTTAGCTAAGGGTGTGTTGGGCAAGCCACCTCCCCTGTTGGACTCCCAGCTCCCTCATCTGTAAAGTGGGCACAACATCAATCCAGAGAGGTGTTGGAGAGAAACGGGGTGGCAGGAGGCAGAAAGAGACAGAGAAACAGAGGGAGAGACAGGGCTCTGGATGCACCCGCTTCTCAGAAGATGCACCTGCTTCTCAGAAGTGAGGGGCTCTGGGCCTCAGCCACTGGCTGCCTGGGGACTCATCAAACCACTCCCCCCATCCAAGCTGCTATGTCCACGCTCAACGCTCAGGAACCTTCCTGCCCTCAGACTGCATTCCTATCTCCCCAGACCAGCCCTCTAATCCAGGGTCTCCGAGTGTGGTCGGCCAGAACGTGTCAGAGATGCTGCTTGTCCAGCCCACCTCAGGCCAAGTGAGTCAGGAAGCCTGGGGTCGGCTTTGCAACTCTGTGGTTTAAGATGCCGCTGAGGTGATTCTGAAGTTGGAGAACTGCTGCCCTAACAAGGCACTGCGTCCATCCATCTATCCGTGTGTTCATTTATTCATTCATTCAACAAGAACTTACCAAGCACCCTGTTTCCCTCTGCTGGTTGCTGGAAAAGCAGACACAAAAGACCCGGTTCCTGGCCTTGCGTTGAGCAGTCTAGACCTCTGGGGGACCAGACTGGGAAAATGTGGCTGGAAGTTGCAGGAGACTGTTCTGGACTGGTTAGGAGTGGCCGTGGGGTCGGTGGCCCAGCCTGACCTAGCACGGGAACCCCTCCCCCAACCCTGACTGCGCCCCTGTCAGAGGCTTCCTCCTCGCAGGGTTGGGCAGCTCTGCAGAAGGCAAGCTCTTCCTTTCAGTGAATCGGTGAACTGTAGTCTGCTCTTGTGACCTCTGCCCTTCAGCCAGCTTTTGTCTCTCAGGCGGCCGAGGCCGTGGTCTGTCTCCTCCCCCAGGACGCCATTCAGGTGTGAGGCCTCAGGCCCCCCAGTTTCCCCCGCTCCAGGCTGCACACCCCAGCTCCCTCCACTGATTCTCAGGCTTTGCAGCCCTGTCAGCCTCCCGCCTGCTCTCAGGTGAAGGGGAAGCTCAGGTGAAGCTGCAGCTCACCAGGGAAGTCACTTCAGGCCTGGGGTTTCGACATAAAATCAGGGCTTTGGCGCCAATTTCCCACCATCCAAATTACTCTGAACAATTCCGCCAGAAGGTGCTCCAGGTTCTGGGAGGAGCAGGGGATGAGGAGGTGGGTTTGAGTCTGGAATCAGTGTCAGTGGGTGGGGCCATGGGAACTGAGGCCCAAAGAGGCGATGGCAGAGTCATTGAGTCCTTCTGTTTTTTAAAAATAATCAGCCTCAAATAATCCACATGCCAAAGAGCCACATTGTGTGGTGGCAAAGTCTGCTCCCCTACAGAGGCAGGCTCTGCTTCTGGCTGCTGACAGGCAGCGTGTGGTGCTGGCCCTCGGTTTACAGCCTGGAACCCTCGGCTTATAGCCTGGAACCCTCAGCTTATAGCCTGGAACCCTCGGCTTATAGCCAGGAACCCTCAGCTTATAGCCTGGAACCCTCAGCTTATAGCCTGGAACCCTCGGTTTATAGCCTGGAACCCTTGGTTTATAGCCAGGAACCCTCGGCTTATAGCCAGGAACCCTCGGTTTATAACCTGGAACCCTCGGTTTATAGCCAGGAACCCTCAGTTTATAGCCTGGAACCCTCAGCTTATAGCCTGGAACCCTTGGTTTATAGCCAGGAACCCTCGGTTTATAACCTGGAACCCTCGGTTTATAGCCAGGAACCCTCAGTTTATAGCCTGGAACCCTCAGCTTATAGCCAGGAACCCTCGGTTTATAGCCAGGAACCCTCGGTTTATAACCTGGAACCCTCGGTTTATAGCCAGGAACCCTCAGCTTATAGCCTGGAACAGGCCTCACGTAGGGCATGGCCGGCTAGGTGTGTTACCTTGGCAACAGATGGAAGGGCCTGAGTCCAGTTCTGTTCCCCAGGTGCTCTGGAGGGCCCAACTGCCTTCTTTAGGTAACGTTGGTGGACCTCACATGAGTTTAGGATGTACAGTGCACAGGCCAAGGCATAGCCTCCCCAGTTAGAAACACCTAGAACAAAAAAAGATTCTATCATAGAAGTGGAAAGGTGATGGGGTCCATCACCCTGCCTCTAAGCAGCAGAACTCATCTCAAAGAATGGCCCCAAGGTCAATGGCACTCATGGCACCAGAGAACTTGTGAGAAACAGATTCTTGGGCCCCAGCGCAGACCTACTTCATCAGAAACTCAGCAGGGAAGACAGGGAGCGCATAAGCTCTCCAGGTGATGCTGATTCAAGTTAAAGGTTGAGTCACTGCTCTAAACCAACTGGGTTACGTACTGTTACTAACCGTCAGAGAAGATTTAGGGGCGCCTGGATCGCTCAGTCGTTGAATGTCTGCTTTCGGCTCAGGTCATGATCTCAAGGTCCCTGCTCAGCGGGAAGCCTGCTTCTCCCTCTCCCACTCCCCCTGCTTGTGTTCCCTCTCTCGCTGTGTCTCTCTCTGTCAAATAAATAAATAAAATCTAAAAAAAAAAAAGAGAGAGAGATTGAAGAAGATTAGGCTCTACCCCTAGGAAGCCTTTGCAGAGCTTCCGACATTAAGAAACTCTCGGCATGGCGGACCTGGATCCATCTTTCTGCGTGGAAGCCGGTCCTCCGAGGAGCTAGCTGACTGTGCGGCATCGCCTCTTCCTTGCTTGCAGAACGCTCCTAAGTCAGCCAGCCCCAAGGCGCCTATTCCCCAGTCTGGGGATGACCTCACTGGCTTTTCTCTGAAACCTGCCTGAGTTCTCCATTCAACTGAAGAAGGATTGATTAAGGACCTGCTAGACTCTAGGTGTCAGAGCTAAAAAAGGAAGAGGAACTCCGACGCGGGGGAGAGAGGGCCTGTGTGCACAGCCAACGCTCAGGGGGGGAGGGAGGTGCTCACAGAGGATGATGGGAGCACTCAGGAGGGGCCACTCATCCTGCCTGTTTTGGGAAAAATTCACAGAAAAGGTGTCATTTCATACGGGCCTTGTAGGCTGGGCAGGATTTGCCAGAGGAAGGGTGGAGAGGGGGGGCATTTCAGGCAGGAAAAAAATGCAAACATACATTGAGTACAAAGGTGTGTGGCACATAAATACAAGGCATATATCAGAATGAGGCAGGTGAGGACCAGGTGAGCCAGGGGAGGGGCTTGTGGGGGACAGGCAGAGGGAGAGGGAGAGAGAATCTTAAGCAGACTTCACGCCCAGCATGGAGCCCGACACGGGGCTCGATCTCATGACCCTGACATCATCACCTGAGCCGAAATCAAGAGTCAGATGCTTAACCCACTGAGCCACCCAGGTGCCCCTCAATTATTTCCAGTTAGTTGGTGGTGGTGCTGATTTCAACTAAGTCCTTACTAATTTTCTGCCTACTGGATCTGTCCCTTTCCGATAGAGGGCTATTAAAGTCTCCATAGATATTAGAGTGGATATACCCATCTCTCCTGTACTTCTACCAGTTTTTGCCTCACATATTTGACACTCCTTTTTAGGAGCATACACATGAAGAAGTTTATGTCTTGGGGAGCCTGGGTGGCTCAGTTGGTTGGGTGTCCAACTCTTGGTTTTCACTCGGGTGGTGGTCTTGGGGTCATGGGATTGAGCCCCGCAGAGTCTGCTTGGGATTTTCTCCTTCCCCTTCTGCCCCTCCCCTTGCTCACGCTCACACACTCTCTCCCTCTAAAAATAAATGAATAAATAAAAACTTTTAAAAAATTGTCATGTCTTTGGGGCACCTGGCTGGCTCAGTCAGAAAAGCATGTGACTCTTGACCTTGCGGTTGTGAGTTCAAGTCCCACACTGGGTGTAGAGATTACTTAAATAAAATTTGAAAAAAAGAATTGTTATGTCTTCAAAAACAAACAAACAAAAAGAATTGTTATGTCTTCTTGGAGTATTGACCTCTTTACGTTATGGACTGCCCCCTTTGACCCTGATAACTTTCCCTTCTCTGAAGTCTGCTCTGTCTGAGATTAATATAGCAACGTATGCTTTCTTTTGGTTACTGTTAGCCTGGTATATTTTTCTCCATCCATCCACTTTTAATCTATGTGTTTCTTTATATTTAAAGTGGGTTTCTTACAGACAACTATAGCTGGGCCTTGTTTTTTTATCCATTCTGACCATCTCTGCCTTTTAATTGGGGTATTTAGACAACTGACATTTAAGGTGATTAGTGATATGGCTGTATTAATATCTGCCACATTTTTACTGTTTTCTGTTTGTTGCCCTAGCTCTTTCCGCCCCCCCCATTTTTGTCTTCCACCATTTTTCTGCCTGTTGTGGTTTTAATTGAGCACTTTATAGGATTTTATTTTCTCTCATTTCTTAGCATATCAATAATACCTCTTTAAAAAAAATTCTTTTTAGTGGTTGCCCTAGAGTTTGCAACATACATTTACAACAAATCCAAGTTCACGTTCAAACAACCATTTCACAGTTAGGGCAAACACCTTAGACAAAATATTCCTCATTCTTCCCTCCCATCCCTTATATGATTGCTGTCATCCACTTCACTTATATACCTGAGCATAACTGAAGAGTCATTGCTATTATTATTTTGAACAAAGTGTTATCTGTTAGATCAATTCAGAACAAGAAAAATAAAAATTATTTTACCTTCATTTATTTATTCTCCAATGCCCTTCTTGGTGTAGATCTGAGTTTCTAACTTATGCAATTTTCCTTCTCCCTAAATAATTTCTTTTAATGTTTCCTGTAAGGCAGGTCTATTAGCAACAAATACCCTGTTTGAGAAATTCTTTCTTTCTCTTTCACTTTTGAAGGATAATTTCACAGTGCACGGAATTCTAGGTTGGTGGTTTTTTTCTGTCAACACTTTAAATATTGCATGCCACTCTACTGGCTTGTGTGATTTCTGAGGAGAAGTTGGATGTAATTCCTACCTTTGCTCTTCATTTATCCTGCTTGGTGCTCTCTGAGCTTCCTGGATCTATGGTTTGGTTTCTGACATTAATCTAGGGGGAAAATCTCAGTCATATTGCTTTAAATATTGCTTCTCTTCCTTTCTGTCTTTCTTCTCCTTCTGATATTCCCATTACACGTAACAATTCTTGGATATTCTATTCTGTTTCATCCAGTCTTTTTCTCTTAGCTTTCTAGTTTTGGAAGTTCCTATTGTCATACCTTCAAGGTCAGAGGTGATTTTTCTCAGCTGTGTCCAGGCTGCTAATGGGCCCATTAAAGGCATTCTTCATTTCTGTTGCAGTGTTTTTGCTTTCTGACATCTCTTCATTTTTTCCTTAGATTTTTCCATGTCTCTGCTTATATTATCATCTGTTGGTGCATGTTGACTATTTTTGGGTATTTCCCTTCCCCAGGTAGGTTAGGCTCTGGTAAAACGGTTTCTCCTGAGGGCAGGCCTTGTTAAGAATGGAGTGCTCTTCTGGGTGTTATGCACAAACAATGAATCATGGAACACTACATCAAAAACTAATGATGTAATGTATGGGGATTAACATGACAATAAAAAATTTTTTAAAAAAGAATGGAGTGCTCTTGGGGGCACCTGAGTGGTTCAGTGGGTTGAGCTGCTGCTTTCGGCTCAGGTCATGATCTCAGAGTCCTGCGATCAAGCCCTGCACGGGGTGGGGCGGGGGGGTCCCTGCTCAGTGGGGAGTCTGCTTCTCCCTCTGCCCCTCCCCCCACTTGTGCTCTCTCTCTCAAATAAATAAATTAAATCTTAAAAAAAAAGGATGGGGTGCTCTGATATATTTCAAAATAGTTTCTTCCTTCTACCCCCTAAAGCACAAGGGGACTTTTCTCTGATATCTGTAGTGTGGACTGAGTAGAGCTAATGGGGGTAGAAGTCACAAAAGTGTGGGGTCCCCCTGTGACTGGGGCCCCCTGGAGTTTTGAACTCTCAAACTTGTCCACACTGAGCCTCCAGCCATCCATCAGGTGCAGGTTTTCCTACCCTAGCCCTAATCCCCTCAGGGATTTCTGCTCATCTACAGGCTCTGTTTTGAGGAGGAAATGGGAGAGCCTTTCTTGGGTATCTGTCAAAATCCCTGAAACTTGTGGTGCAGTCAAGGATGGAGAACTGGGGCCTCAAAGGACCTGGGAAAGGTTGGTCCTGACGGGGAAAAGAGGGACAGGGCAGCCTACGGCAGAGGTAAGTTTGAAGGGAGGTGGGAAGCCTTCTGCCCCCTCCACACGTTTACCAGATGGTTCTCTTTCCACCCTGCAGGAGGCACAGAGGAAAGCATGGATGACCCCGCTTCAGAGAGGCCTTCCCTGACCACTGATCTAAAGTGGCCTGCCTGTCCCTGTCTTCCATCTTCCTCTTGGCACTGTGTAGCATGAGCTGGTGTGTTTCTTTCGTAGGGCTCCTTGTCTGTCTGCTACCCCTAGAGCAGGAGCCCTGGGGAGCCCGACCCTTGCTACGTAACTCCAGGACCGATGTTTGTTGGATGACTGAATGAGAGGCCAAAGGCTGAGAACCAGGTCCCCTTCTTGCCCTGGTGCCCTGGAGACTCCCCTCACAGAGGAGGGGAGCTTCTGGCCGGATAGGCTCCAGGCCTCCGGGTCCCTCCTCCTGGGTAGCCGGGCCTGACTGGCCCGCCATCTGAGCACTTACCAGTGATGACAGCAAAGTCAGCCTCCGCGTCATAGGCGATCACATCCCCATTTCGAATGTGTCTCTTCACAGCCTCCTCGACTTTGCCCATCCCAAGCTCATTGCCCCCGTCACTGACTCCTGAAGGGAGGGGGAGCTGAGTCAGTCAGTGTACAGGATTGGGCAGAATGGGGGTGGTGGTTTGGGGGCAGGGCAGCCCCTCCACATGTGTTGTGTTGCCTCAGGGAGGGGAAAAGTGTTGGCTCGGGGTCTATTTTCAGACAACCAGGAGATGTACTTCTCCTTCAGGTCTTCTAGAGACTTCTCTAGTTAAAAGTGAGTTGAACAGGGTGCCTGGGTGGCTCAGTCGTTAAGCGACTGCCTTTGGCTCAGGTCATGATCCTGGAGTCCCGGGATCGAGTCCCGCATCGGGCTCCCTGCTCGGCGGGGAGTCTGCTTCTCCCTCTGACCCTCCTCCCTCTCATGCTGTCTCTCATTCTCTCTCTCGCAAATAAATAAAATCTTAAAAAAAAAAAAAAGAGATGAACTATGGTGATTTATGCTTTTCTAATTTTGTAGAATGAAAATAATGATAATAATAATGAAGGAAACTGAGTGTGAACAATAACAGTGATACTAGCATGACTTTGACTCAGTGTTTGAGTCTCAGGTTTTGTGTTTTTTAAATTCAGCAGGCTGCCTGGGTGTCTCAGTTGGTTAAGTGTCTGCCTTGGGCTCAGGACATGATCCTGGAGTCCCTGGATCGAGTCCCGCATCGGGCTCCCTGCTTGGCGGGGAGCCTGCTTCTCCCTCTGACCTTCCCCCTTCTCATGTGCTCTCTCTCATTCTCGCTCTCTCAAATAAATAAATAAAATCTTTAAAAAGATAAAAAAAAAAAGGGGCGCCTGGGTGGCTCAGTTGGTTGGGCGACTGCCTTCAGCTCAGGTCATGATCCTGGAGTCCCGGGATCGAGTCCCGCATCGGGCTCCCTGCTCGGCGGGGAGCCTGCTTCTCCCTCTGACCCTCCCCCCTCTCATGCTCTCTCTCTCTATCTCATTCTCTCTCTCAAATAAATAAATAAAATAAAATAAAATAAATTAATGCATTCGTAAGTTGAAACACAGTATACATGGTACATTTGTCCTGTATGACCAATAGAATATACCATGCTTCAATTTTATTATTGTTATTATTTTATTATTAGTTTTAGTATTTTAGAGCTGGGCGAGTAGAACATGCTCGATTAAGCGGCATTTCCCTTTCTTGCTCGTGGGAATGCTGGATTTCTAAGTGACAGTGTCTTTTTTTTTTTTTTTAAAGATTTTATTTATTTATTTGACAGAGAGAGACACAGCGAGAGAGGGAACACAAGCAGGGGGAGTGGGAGAGGGAGAAGCAGGCTTCCCGCCGAGCAGGGAGCCCGATGCGGGGCTCGATCCCAGGACCCTGGGACCATGACCTGAGCCGAAGGCAGACGCTTAACCGACTGAGCCACCCAGGCGCCCCTACTTCAGAGAGTTTTAAAGAGGCTTCAACAATATAGTGGAGAAAATGCACAAGAGGTACTTCACAGACAGCCCTGTACCTACTCAGGGCACAGGAAGTGGTGGTATTTGTGGTTGCTTTTGTAATTAGGAGGAATCTTGTCTTGATAATCCAACTTAAAAATATGAAAATTGCACTTTTATATCTCTCTAAATCCCCCCATGATGGAGTTCTTTATTTTTTTGTAAGATTTAGTTATTTATTCTAGAGAGAGAGAAAGAGAGAGAACTGGCGGGGGTGAGGGGGGCAGAGGGAGAGGGAGAATCTCAAGCAGGGATCCCCGCTGAGCGTGGAGTCCGAAGCTGGGCTCAATCTTACGACCCTGAGATCATGACCCGAGCCGAAATTAAGAGTCAAGCGCCTTCAACAGATGAATGGATAAAGAAGATGTGGTCCATATATACAATGGAATATTACTCAGCCATCAGAAAGGATGAATAGCCAACTTTTACATCAACATGGATGGGACTGGAGGAGATTATGCTAAATGAAATAAGTCAAGCAGAGAAAGTCAATTATCATATGGTTTCATGTATTTGTGGAACATAAGGAATAGCATGGAGGACATTAGGAGAAGGAAGGGAAAAATGGGGGGGGGGAATTGGAGGGAGAGATGAACCATGAGAGACTATGGACTCTGAGAGACAAACAGGGTTTTAGAGGTGAGGGGGTGGGGGGGTTGGTTAGCCTGGTGATGGATATTAAGGAAGGCACGTACTGCATGGAGCACTGGGTGTTATACGAAAACAATGAATCGTGGATCACCACATCAAAAACTAATGATGTATTGTATGGTGACTAACATAACATAATAAAATAAAAAAAATAAGAGTCAAGTGCTTAACTGACTGAGCCACCCAGGCACCCCATGATAGAGTACATTAAAATCTTTGCTATGGAAAACTGTGTGGAGGTTCCTCAAAAAGTGTGAAATAGAATTACCACACGATCCGGCAATTCCACCCCTGGGTCTGCAGCCCAAAGAATTGAAAGCAGGGTCTCGAGGAGATACTTAGACACCCTTGTTCACTGCAGCATTATTCACACTAGGCAAAAGGGATGAACACCAACAGACGAACAAAGAGGCAGAGTGTGGTATGTACATACAAGGGAGTATTATCTAGCCTTAAAAAAGGAAGGAAATTCTGACATACGCTACAACGTGGATGAATCTTGAGGATAATTTGCTAACTGGAATAAGCCAGTCCCGGAAGGACAAATACTATATGGTCCCTATGGTTATATGAGGTACTATAGCAGTGGATTTGTAGAGGCAGAAAGTAGGGGCTGGGGTCGAGGGGGAATGGAAAGTCATTGTTTATGGGTAGAGCATTCCTGTTTGGGAAGATGAAAACGTTCTGGAGATGGATGGTGGGGATGATTGCCCAGCAATGCAGATAGACCTTAATACCACTGAACCGCATGCTTAAAATGGTTAAAATGGTGAAATTTATGTTATGTATATTTTACCATAATAATAAAAAAATCTGAACTCTGAATGCCTGGCTATGCCCCTTGGTTGTGTAGAATGTGGTGGCATCATAGATGCTTGGAATCAGGCCACTGAGTAGGTTTTAGAAAGCAATCCTGAGGCTCCACGCCCAGGGCAGAAAAAAAGCAGCCACTGAGAAGCAGAGTCAACAGGAGGAAGGAACTTTGACCCTGAATTTCCCCTAGACCTATATCCATGGTGATGAAAAGCCTCTTTAGAACAGGACCTCCGACTGGGATCAATATGTTCTCTGTTCTGCAGGGAGAACACCACTTCTGGACCTTCCCCCTAGGAGAATTTCAGTTATATACCTAATGAAGGTATATAACCAATTTATCCATTTGGTCCATTTATGCTCAAGACAGGGACGAAATGACTAAGCCTCTTTTTTAGGCCAGCAGGATCCATTTAGTTACAGTGGGAAGTAATCCACTCCTGGGAAGCCGGCTCCCTGGAAAGAGTTAACGCATCTTCTCCAAAGAGAGCACAAGCCTCTCTCCCCACAATCAGATCTGCCCGGCCTCCCTCCACTCAGCAAACAGAGCAGCACCTGCGTTAACTGGCATCAGGGATGCCACACCAGAGAATTTTCTAGCTTCTCCCTGAAGATCCAGAGCTTTGTTTATATGTCAACCATTTGGAGAATATAAACATCTCTAATATGAACCACACATGTTTCTGCTGCTTTAAATGGCATATGGGATCCACGACTGAACTTTTTCTTGGTGACTCAGGGTCCTCATTATGATCATCAAGTTCTGCTGCAAGCTGCAGGACAGCTATGCCCGCCAGGCCTATTAAAGCAGTGTTTTTAAGTTCTAACTGGACACGCATTAGTGGGTTGTGAAATAAATTTATTAGGCCAGGTCAGCATTTCCAGAAAAGTAAAACAGAACACTGTAGAATAGAATAGAATAGACTGGAATAGAAAACGTCAGAATATACTGCACATCGCAAGAGTAAATACTGTTTTCTGAATCTTCGTTTTAGTTGTGGGTGTGGGTACGCACACGTGTGTGCGTCCTGTTTGCAATGCAGAAGGTATTACTGCTGTCAAAAAAGTTTTAGAAACGCTGTATTAAAAATGGTAAGATCTGGGGGCGCCTGGGTGGCTCAGTTGGTTAACCATCTGCCTTTGGCTCAGGTTGTGATCCCAGGGTGCTGGGCTCCCTGCTGGTGGGGAGTCTGCCTCTCCCTCTCCCTCGCTCCTCCACAACACCCCCCATCCCCGCTTGTGTGTGCACGCACTCTGTCTCCCAAATAAAGTCTTTTTTTTTTTAAAAAAGCACAGTCACAGTATCAATAACACACTTTAAAGTTTGTAATAAATTGCTTAGATCTTAAAAGTTCTCATCACAGGGGCGCCTGGGTGGGCTCAGTTGGTTAAGCGACTGCCTTCGGCTCCGGTCATGATCCTGGAGTCCCTGGATCGAGTCCCGCGTCGGGCTCCCTGCTCAGCGGGGAGTCTGCTTCTCCCTCTGACCCTTCCCCCTCTCATGTGCTTGCTCTCTCTCATTCTCTCTCTCAAATAAATAAATAAAATCTTTAAAAAAAAATTTGTAAGATCTGAAATGCATCCCTACATACAATAAAGATGTATTTTTCAAAATGTCGGATCACGACACACAGTAAAAAGAACACACGCATTTGCACAAAATTTCACGAGAGAGTACTTAGCATTACGACACAGGACGTACGATAGTATTTCTGTTTCTCATTCCCCTTGCAAACGTGCCGGTTACTCCACTGAAATGACTCACTTCTCTCTAATGGGTCATGACCCAGTTTGAGAAACTGCTAGTTTTCGGTTTTTATAATTTTCCTATCTTCCTCCTCTATCAGGAGGGCATGCCATGCCCAGAAATGCTTTGTGAAGCCCCCAGGACTCCTGGAAACCCAGCAGCCTGGCCCGTCAGAACCCCTGGGCACATGGCTCTGTTCTCCCTGGAGTCAGCAAAGTGAATAGAGCGTGGGCTTTTCCACCATCACCTGCTTACGCTGGGATGGGATGCACATACCTCGGTGACTTGGGGTCTCCATCTTTGCAGAGAAATGCCTGAGCGGCTCCCGCTGATTCACCTTGGAAAGTTAATAAGGGGATCGGTGTCTTCAGAACACCTTGAAAATAAAGGCAAAGGGTTGACACATCAGCCCTCGTGTTGCATTTTGGAAATTCATGTTGGCTTTTCCGAAGCTGCTTTGGAAAGCATCACTATCACTACCTACCTGTCGAATACTTTGTTAGGAAAGCTGAGACCTCAACCCGAGAATGAGAATACTTGTTTACTTATAGTCCTTAGTAAACCCTCGGTTGCCGGAGTGTGTGACCCTGAGTGGCGTGGAATTGGGCTACTGTCACCACTATTGGGGGCTAGCAAATATGCTGCCTGTAGATGTCCATGAGACCCCATGAATGGAGGCCTATTCTGGCTCACTGCCATCGTGAGTGCTGGGGACACGTGGCGCCCATGGTGACCGGGAGCTAGCCCTCCACTAAGCACCTGACATGCATGCTCTCACTTAATTGTCACAACAGTTCTATGTGATAAGAACCATTATTAACCCCATTTTACAGAAGAGGAAAACTGAGGCTCAGAGGTGCTATGTAAGTCAGATGAAGCCAAGGATGGAGGTCAGTGTCACGACCCCAGTTTCCACCCCAAGTTCTCATCCGCTCCCCCCCTCCTCCCCTCCCTGCATACCTTCAGGGAAGTTCTAGAACAACAGTGGAGAGGTCCCAGAGTCTGGGCGTGGAATTAGCTACTGGTATTGGAGTGATTGCCAAAGTGATTTTGACTCTCAAAAAACAGCACCTTCTCTCATTACAATAATAATACGCATTAATGTAGAATATGTGGGAAGCACACACAAATCCCAAATTAAAATAAAAGTGACTTGGTTGTCATTAACGAATCCACCTCCTAGCAGGTGGAGGTAGAATGCTTGTGCATTCACTGGCCCAGGATGAGATCTCCACGCAGAGCTTGAGAAGGCGAACAGGGGGCCTGCGACAGGGATGGACCCAGCACTTACGGTCCCACTGGTTCTGCGGAACCCCCCGGCCCACTCTGGGGACCAGAGGGGCTGCCATAATCTCCATCATCAGCCCCTCACACACCTCACATAAACCCAGCCCAAGTAAGCACCCTGTCCATGTTAAAACCACATGGTATTATAAATGTGGCTGCTTCCCACCTCAGCTTCACCATATGGCTGTCCCAAGCCCTTTCGGAGCTGCCACCGCCCCCCTCCCTCAGTGGGTAGAGAAGCCAGAATCATTGGCAGAGACCCTAAGGGGCCCCCAGCGTGGCTCCCTCCAACATCCCTCCCCAGTCCCACCCCATGTCTAAGGGGGAAAGACAAGGAGAGGACAGTCAGTCCATCAAGGGATACTTGCCGAGCACATTCTGCATGGGACAAGCCAGGAAACGGGGGTGGGGTGGGGTGGGGAGTGTGGTCACAACAAGCTGAAAGACCCAGCCCCTTTCTGTGCTGTGAGGATCAGCCTGGTGACCCAGCAAGGGGACTGACTACAACCAAACAACAGTCCTAGCTGTGTAACCTTGGACAAACCACAGAAACTCCCTTAGCTGTGGTTTCCTCCTCTGCAAAACGGGGTTAGTCATGTCTCCCTTGACCCAGCATTGCTGTGGATGCAATGATGTGATATGGGCCAAACACTGAGCTGGGGGGTCTTGCATGTAGTAGGTGCTAAGTTAAGGCTGGTGATTTCTTACTTCCTGACATTGGATCAAGGATACAGGATACTAGTAAGAAGGGGCACCGGGGAGCCAAACAGGGCAGGGAACCTAACATACCCCCCCAGAGGGGCACACAGAGAGAAAGAGTCTCTGCAAAGGAACGTCAGCGCAAGATATGAACCCGCACCTGAGCTGCAAAGAACCAATTTATCCATTTGGTCCATTTACGCTCAAGACAAGGAAGAAATGACTAAGCTTTTTCTTCTTTAAACATGTGCAGCCTTTGGTTATAAAAAGAACTGAACTAATTTTCATTAAAAGGCCAAATCTTTTTCCCTTTCTTCGTCCACATGTCACAAAAGTCCTGCAAAATTGAATAGAGCAGACACTACCTTCTAAACCACCCCATGGGCGAGCCCCAGTTCCGAGCCCCCGAAAGCAGCTGGAGCCTCTGAGCCAGGCCAGCAGGTGAGCTGCGAGGGCAGAGCTGCCTCTGGGAAAGTGGGCAGCTAAAAATATCCAAGCCGCTTGTCAGATGGGGGAGGCTGCCAGCCTGTTGGCAGCGGCTGGGACTGTGGCCCACCCGTCCTCCTTGTTCACAACATGGTCCTTCCGTGTCCCTCGGTCCTCTGTGCAGTTCCTTCCTGGCCTCCCTGGTGGCTCCCCCTCTCCTCCTTGACCTTTCAATGTGGAGCATCCCAGGGTGTAATCCTGGGACCTTCTCTCTGTCTCTTATTCCCTGGGTGATCTCACCCCGTGTCTGGACTTAAAAGGCCATCAATATGCCAACCGGTCTCCGATTTCTCTTTCCAGCCCAGACGGCTCTCCTGAACTTGACTCGTAGATCTGTCCACTTGACGTCTCCACTTGTGTGGCTACAGATTGCTCAAACTGAGGCTCAGACCTGCACTCTTTTAAGATTTTTTTTAAAAATTGTAATTGTGGTAACCTACATAATGTGACTTTTACTTCCTTAGCCATTTCTAAGCGTACAGGTCTCTGGCGTTGAGTACGTTCACGCTATAGTTGTCTCCAGCACCACCACGTCTCCAGAACTTTCTCATCTTCCCCAACTGGAATTCTGTCCCTAATCAACACTCCCCAGCAGCCCCCCCAACCCCCGGACCACCGTTCTTCTTTCTGTCCCTACAACAGCAGTTGCTCTCAGTCCCTCGTGTAAGTGGAGTCCTACAGGATTTTGTCCTTTGTGACCGGCTTATTTCACTCAGCATGATTCCTTCCAGGTTCACCCATCGATCAGAATTTCCTTCCTTTTTAAGGCTGAAGGACATATTCCATTGTCTGTCTAGACTGCATTCTGTTTATCGGTTCATCCGTGGACAGACCCTTGGCTTGTCTCTGGTGAATAACGCTGCTGCGAACGCGGATGTGCAAGTATCTGTTTGCGTCCCTGCTTTCGGTTCTTTTGGGGTGATACCCAGAAGTGGGATTGCTGGATCATGGGCGATTTTCTACATTTTTTGAGGAACCGCCATACTGGTTTCCACAGCGGCCACACTGTCGGATGTTCCCAGGAGCAGCGTCTCCGCGGTGTGGGTCCCCGGCAGCTGCGCCCTCCCCGTCACCCTGCCCGAACTGTGCAGCCATCCTCATCCCCTGTCTCACACCTGCGTCCAATCCACCCGGAATCATGACTCTCCCTTCAAAATACAGACAGAGCTGTCTACGTCTCGGAACCTCCACCTGCACCGGTCATCGGTTTGGGGTTCTCTGAAACCAGAGTCTGACACAAAGACTCCGGTGCAGGCGGTTTATTTGGGAGACGACCCCAGGGGGCAGGTGGGAAGGGCAGAAAGTGAGGGCAGGAAGGAGGAAAAACCAACAGGGGGGAATGGGCACTTTCGAGGTCACTGCTCCAGGCAGTGGGGTCCCAGTTCCACGGGGACCTGCCTGTCTCTGAAAGACAAGAGGCAAGGCTCCTGTGCCCTGTGCCCCCCTGGCTGAGGGGCTCCCGGAGACACCAGTCCCCTTACTTGTGGACTGAGTGGTTTTGCACAGCTTTGAAGAAACCCCGAAACGCATTTTCAGGGGCACAGAGACACAGGCAGCGGGAAGTAGGTCAGAGCACCAGGCTCCGCGCCGATGCCCGCACAACCCTAGTGGGAAGAGGAGAGGCGAAGAGCTGCGGCTCACAGTGCACCCCAGCCGATCCTGACGCGGACAGTGGCACGGCCTCACGCCAGCGTCGCCTGCAGCTCTCAGGCACCTGCGTGCTCCAGGAGGCTGTGCGGCGCAGGGCATCCGCCCCGCTGGCCCGGGAGGGACCCTGCCACCTCTGGTTTCGACTACCGCACCTCCACCCCCCTCCGGGGGGTCGGGGGCTGGGGTCCGGGCTGGCCTGGGTTGCTGAGTCCCCTGCAGGTCACACAGGGAGGGGAGCAGGTGCACAGCAGGACCCTGGGCTCTGGAGCCTGGAGGACCCGGGTTCAAACTCGAGCTCACCATTCCCACCCAGGCAACTCACCCGGACCCCTCAGAGACTCAGCCTCTTCATCCATAAAATGGGGCTAATGCTGCTGATACCAGAGAGGTTTCGAACAGGAAGGAAAACGCCCCCTGTCCGGTGCATAGCCCTGAGCTGGGTGCTTGGCAGGAGCTCCACACACCCGGGCCCCCCCCCCGACCCCCACAGCCTCTGCCCGCAAAGGCCCGTTTGGGGGAAACGGACTATCCTCATCTCACTCCTCACCTTGCTCAACAGCTTCTTCCACAAGCCTCTCGAACAAACTCAAGGCTCTCTGGTCAACGATCATGGAGACGCCCTTCCGCAAGGCCTGCAGGAAGGCGGCCAGGGCCATGGCCCCCGGAGGGCGTCCGTCTCTTCTGGGGGCTGGTGGTTGAAGTGTGTGGGGCAGCCGGTGGTGACGAGCACCGAGCGGACGTGCGACAGCAACAGGGAGTCTCGCAGCCGCTCATCTCTGCAGAGCAGGTGTCCGATCCCCTGCTGGCCTAAAATTATTTTCAGATTTATTTATTCGCTTGAGAGAAAGAGAGAAGGCGGGGGGGGTGCGGTGGCAGAGGGAGAGAGAGAGAGAGAGAGAGAGAAACAGACTCCGCACTGAGCGGGGAGCCCGACGCGGGGCTCGATCTCACGACCCTGAGGTCACGACCTGAGCTGAAACCAAGAGTCGGTGACCCAACCGACTGAGCCACCCAGGCACCCCATTTTTTTTTAAGTCATAAGATTAAAAAAAAAAGTCATAAGATAACGTCATGTGTTTCAGGTAGAAACTTATGTAAACAGCAGTTTGGTTTTTTATTTACTCTTGTTTCTGAAGTGGATTTGAGGGGATGTGGCAGAGACTGCTGGTTGTTCCCCAGAATTCCTTCTCCGTCCCCGCCCCCAGGCACGAAGGGGAGCCGGTCTGTGGCTGACCAGCAGCTCTTCCGGTTAGGGCTTCCAGTCTTCCATGAGCCTAGGTCCTCTCTGCCACATCCGGAGAGCAGCCAAAGGGACCAGGAGTGGAAGTCATTTGCACCCCCTCTGGGCCTGCCACCCCCCGACCCCTGCCTTCCTCCCTTCCTCCCTTCCCAGCTGTTGACAACCAGCACCTCCTGGGGGTCACAGGGGGTCATGGCAGAGCTTCTGGCTGGAGCAGGTCCCCCTTCCCGCTGAACACCTACACTCACCAGGGAAGGCCTGCTCTGGACGGTTGCGTGAGAGGCACATACTCGTACTGTATTTGAGGAAAGCATCTTGGGGTTAATTTGTTCTAGCGGTCTAGCAGACTCTAACTGATGCAGGAATGTTGAAGGAGAGGCAACAGGACTTCCCTAGTGGGGGAGTCACCAGAAGAAGGCCCTCAGACAAGGACTTGGGTGCAGGTATTTCTACAGAAAGTGAGCCCAGGAACACTAAGTCAGAAGATGGAAGAAGTGTGAAAAAAGGGAGAAAAGCTCCTGAAGAATGAATGTGTGAGTGAGCAAATTAACTACAAAGGCAACTGGGCCTCAGTCCTGCCTGAGCTGCTCTAGGAAACTGTGGGGTCCACACCTCAGGGCTCTCCTGCCAGAGGACAGGGGGACCAGGCATTGATGCACCTGCTCCTGCCCCTTGTTGGGTGCAGGGGAGACAGGCAGGGCACCAGCATTATTGGCTCTAATGCCCTCCGGTGGCTGCCAACCTGGTCCCGGCTGGACAGCACAGACCCCTAGGGCCTGTCATTGTGCCCCTGTCCATACTCAGGTCACCCCCAGGCATATCTGGGCCTGGTGAAGGCAGGATGTGACTCAGAACTCCTCCCCCAGCTGTGGCTAAAATGAGAGGTAGACCAACGGATGGGGCCTGAGGGTGTCAGCTTGCCCTTGAGGTGCATGGAGAACATGGAGGGACACAGGGTTGGGGTCCTGTTGTGGAGGGACAGTTCCAGACTTGGAATTTGGAAACTTACGTTCAAGCCCAAAGTAGCTGTGGGACCTTGGCCTCGTCCCTGGATTGCTCTGGGCCTCTGTTTTCCTACGTGGAGCATGGGGAGGGGGTCCAGATGGAGGGAGGCTGCAGGAAAGGGCTCTGCACATGCCTGCAGTGGGGGTGGAGACTGGAACATTTGTCTGGAGGGTGATTTGTACTCAGATTTGTACGTGCCCCTTATACCAGCTATTCACGTCCAGGAATTTATCCTGATAAAGGGATCGTGGGGATGTACACACAAATAGTCAGAGGGTGTTGACTGCAGCCTGTTTATGGTGTCAAATGATGGATGTTAATAAAAATGGTGGAATGTCTATAAAATGGAATTCTATGCGCACATTAAAAAGGATGTTGTAGAAGACTAATGACATGGAAAGATGTTCACAATATATTAAAAAGGGGAATATATATATACATAAAGAATATATATTCTTTTTTCAGTCTTACAGGCTTAAGACTGAAGAAAAGGACTTTAAGGGCAAATATTGAACTGTTTGTGAATAACGGTTAATTGTGATGGGATTCTGGTTATTTTCACTGCCTCTTTACGTTCATATATTTTCTGATGTTTCTACAATGAACGCGGATTGCTGTTGGTGAAAGGGGAGAAGAACAATATTTTTAAAGAAAAAAACCGGAAAGTAACCTATTTCATAGGATGTGATAAACATCAAAAGAGAGAGGAGGGCAGAGAGAACTTTTTTAAATTTAGAGCAGCCGATGAGCTCATCATTTATGATGGTTTTTGCATGAGAGCAAACATCGTCACTCTAAACTTTGCCTTCCTTCTTATTCTCTAGGCACCTCAAATGCAAGCCAATGTCCTCTCAAAAATGACTGAGTGCCTCTATTATTAAGCCCAGTGAGCAATGCTCAGTATACTGCCATTAATCTTATATCTGCTTATTTCATATAGCAGGAATCAAAAGCATCTGTTGTTCTTGAGGATGAACGATGTTCCTTCATAGACAGTATTGGCCCATCTGGACACTCATAAATCTGCCTTTCCCCTATTCCTCATGCTTCAAACCTAGACACAGTCTGCACAAACCAAAGGGGGGTTTGTGGATGCCCTCCCGGCTCATTTTTATTAAGCTGGGGTGCGCCGAGTCTGCCGTAAATTTACTTACCACTTACTTTTTTATCTGAGCTAATGGCAGAGTTAATAATTCACCTTCCCTCACGACCCCTGTGCTGAATGGAAGGGCTGTTAGCCTGGGTAAGAGTGTTTGTGAGGGAGAAAGTATTGCAGAAATTAAAAAGAAATATCCACCCAGGAGATCAGCCTATGTAAGAGGCTCTAGGTACACACAGCCACGAGCTTCTATCTCTATATGTGTATGTGTCTGTCCTAAAAGGGGCATCAGGGGTAGGCACTGATCCCAGATTTACTGTGAGTTTATGTGCAAAAGAAACCAGACTCTCCGCTGAAAGAATGAATGAATGAACAACACAACAGACAGACAAAACATCAAAAAGCTAGGCCTTGTAGTTTTGAAGGAAGTTTTGCTATGTCCACCTTTGGTCCCAAGCCCAGGGGAGAGAGCAGACATTTTTAAGGCCGTTCTGCACTGTTTGATTCTTAGCCACGGTATTAGTTCACGCAAAATGGCACCCAGCTTGGTGGCTCTATGACTGTGCCCAGGTGCTGTTCTCTGTCCCAGTGTCACTGTTCTCTGTCTGGGTGCTGGGACTTCAGCCAGGAGGCTCGACCTCTCCAAGCTGACCTCACCCCTCTGCTTTCCACAGGGACCCCAGCACCATCTATTCAGATATCTGGCAAACAGGGGTCTGATGGGCCAACAGGGAGACCAGGTACACCTCCTCCAGACCTTCAAAGTACAAAGAGCACCCAGGTCAAGAATCACAGCCCATGAGAAGGTATGAGCCAGCAGAGGCCAGAGCACTCTTTTAACTGGCCCGGTGGGACTGTGATATACCATGTAAACTCAGATTCCAATTTATCCAACCCTTATCGATAGTGGGCCTTGGAGTCAGTGGGTGCGGATTCAACGTCTGCCCCCACCATGTGCCAGCTATGTGGACTTGGGCAAGTTTCTTAACCCTATATGCCTCAGTCTCCTCATCTGTTAAAGGCAGTTAGTAATACCTGCCCCATAGGGTCAGTGGAAGAATCTAAGATGAAATGTGCTCAAGCTTTGAGCGCATGCCTGGTCCAAGGTAAAACTCAGTAGATGATAGCTGTCATTCTTATTACCCATCACACCCCGCAAAAAGGAGGTCTAGTTGTTATTTCTCCTGTTATACTGATGAGAAACTGAGGCAGAGAGCCCCAGGGAAGGCTGAACCTTCATTCTCTCTGGAACCTTTGCCAGAAAATGGATTGAATTTCTGTGCACACCTGCGCCCTCTGCTGGCCACCTTGGATTAGACATGGGGCTCTTCAGTGACCATGCCCGGGGATGAGAAAAACCCCTCAACTAGCTGGCAGCCAACCTCCTCCTAATTGGAACCAGAAGACCCCTAGTGGATCCCATGTCTAGAAGCCAGTGGGTCACAAGCCACAGAAGGACTGTCCTTTCTCTGAGACGCAATATACAATATACGTGTTGGTTGCAAACTCTTATGAGGCTATCACCTGCAGGGTCCTGCCCCACCAGCATCCTCAGAGGAGTGGGGATCCAGCCCCTGCCCCTACCTCTGCTGCCCAGCACAAAAACATCTATTCTACACCCAAGCCCAGGGCGATGGCGCAAAAGGAGGAGATTAGGGACACAGGGGTGACTTTGTTTAAATGGTGGCAGTTGGTGACCTAGGAACCATACTACTCCCTTTTTTCTTACCATCCCAGTCCCAATTTAGTCGTGATGGCAATGTGTCCAGCTAATAAGCTCACCTTCCAAACTCCCTCTTATGTTTAGTGTTGAAAATTCGGGGAAAAAAACAAATAAAAAACCAAAAATTATTCACATTCGAACTACCCAGAGATCATCAACATCAGGATTTTGGTGTATTTACTTCTTTTAGGGATTCATACGTACTATAGGCATTAAAAAAAAAATCACACTGTGGGAATGCACAGTAGAGGCAAAGAGAGAATTTAGGCAGCTGACCCTTGTAAATGGAGATGGAGGTTGAGGGGAAAGAGGACTCAAGCAAATATCTTAATGATTCCCAGGTAACTTTTTAAAGAGTTTGGATTCTAAATAACTTGAAGCCTTGTTATAACATTGTTTTTGAGGTTTATGCTTCAGAATGATCCCTATAGGTGAAAACTTGCCCTTCATTGGATGAAGTCTCAATTTCCATAAGTTAATGAAAAATGTTATAGTCTAGTAGCCTGACATTAAGGCTATGCCTACTTTCTGGATAAAATAGCAATCTCTGCTCTTTGATAGTGTTAGCTAAATAAAGAGGAATACATTCTTCTCTCTCTCTCTCTTTTTTTAAAAATCCATCCTGTAGATGCATGTAGTTTGCATGCTGCCTTTTTCACTGACCATTACGCCAGTGGTGAATTGCTCCAGGTCATTAAGGTGAGCACGCTTTGTTTCTTACCTGGGTCTATGGCAATTATAGTCTCTAGTTCTCTAATCTTCTGAACAGCTGAAGCAGATGCCATGCTGTAGTGCAAAGGATCTTGGGAAATGCGATGGACCTCTGGTGGAAGGTTCACGCCTGCAATTCCCTCAGGGGTAAGACAACGGACTGGAGCCTTTGTATCCTTCAGGTTGGTCATGACTGTCAACCCGGCGCACTGGTGAAAGCCAGTGGGGTCTCTAAAACACACAACGGGAGGGACTGAGTGCACTCACTTCATCAAATTCAGTCCATTCTCATCTAGCCCACGGTTAGTGGGCAAGATGGTGCCGGGCCTCGGCTCTGCCAACAGCGCTCCTTACATGGCTTGTTGCACCAAATCAGAAAAAATTAGCTGATGGATAAATCAAGCACCACTTAAACAGGTGCCTCCAATGTTTAGGAAAGTGAAGATGAGATGCGTGTGGGAACAGAAGGGAGGGGCAGCCCAGCTACAGATAGGAATTGCCATCAACTGAACCCCATGGGTATCAGAAAGTACTTACTGAACTCTTACAGATACACAAAGCCACCTTCCTGGACTTGGCTAATAAATAAATAGATAAATAAAATCTTAAAAAAATAAATGAATAGAATTCCATGAATCTTGTCATTTATGCCTCATCGCTATATTAGAAATAATCTTCCCCTATCGTGAGGCCGTTCTGATAGCTAAATTTATATGAATGCTTTCAAAAAAATTAAGGTAACATTAAATTCTGTGATTTGTAGTTCCAGTGTGCCTGACCTGGCTAGAATTTTCTGGTGTCTGTGAAATGGGCTGCCATAGTTATTCTTAAGGTTTCTAGCACATCCCTACCTTACTGTGAGCTGGTTAGGGCGCCCTCGTGTGTCTCTTCATTGTAATATCACCCTATGTCTTTGAAAAAAATAAACTGACCGTATTGCTTTGAATGCAGAGGTCCCCCCCTTATCAAGATATGTTCCAAGACCCCCCAGTGCACATGAAACCCTGCATAGCACTGAACCCTATATAGACTATGTTTTTTCAACCTTGCATAGCACTGAACCCTATATAGACTATGTTTTTTCCTATGTTTAATTTATACATTAGGCACAGTAAGAGATTAACAGCAATAACTAATAATAAAATAGAGCAATTAGAAAATATACTGATAAAAGGGTTGTGAATGTGGTCCTCCCTTTCTAAAAATACCTCACTGTGTTGTCCTCACCCTTCTTCTTGTGACAATGTGAGATGAAAAATGCCCACGTGATGAGAGGAAGTGAGGGGAGAGGGCATGTGACGTAGCATGAGGCCACAAAGAAGGAGGATCATCTGCTTCTGGACTGCTGTTGACTGCGGGCAATAGACCTCAGAAAGCAGAACTGCGGGGAAAGGGGGACCACTGTACCCTGCAAATACCATGTGAAATGGAGTGTTTAGTGGTGCTTTTTGCCTTCACTCTTGTTTTCAAAGCCCTACCAACCTTCAAAATGTCTCAGAAAGTCAAGCTAAATATTGGTCTTTTTATTAGAATGGCCTGGGAGCCTTCTGCAGATGGAAATATATTTAATCAAAATGTACAAGTTGCTGGTGAGACCCAGCCCTGGGAGATCTGTATGTTTTATATTTTGTTTTGTAACTCGGTTTCTTAAGTCACTGCCCTGCAAGCCTATGCTTCCAAGAACTAGAGACCCACCCTTTTCCATCCTGGGTCATAGTCATAGCCCCCTTTAAGCCCGGACGTACTGCAGCTGCTGACAGCTTTGAGGTCATCTGAGAAGTCCAGAACACTGGGACGTCCCCTGGTTGACACACCACAGGATCTCCATAGTCAGGTTTGGAAAGATCTTTGATTCCCAACCTTTTTCCCATGGAAAAAGAAAATGAATTCCTGCAGGTCCTGTCTTGGTAGGTCCCATCCAGGTTGAACACGTCGAATAGTTTATGTTTCTTTCTCCCAGAAAAAAACTAGTCATAGGATTGCTCTCAATGGTACTGGAGAAAAGAATTTGGGACTTTAAAAACCCAGGACACTGGCTAGCTTCTAGTCCATTCTGAGTAGTACAGTTGCAGAACACGGAATCTCAGGCACCTGCTGTGATTGCTGGAGGAGCCCCAGTTGCACTCAGCCTAACACCTGGTGCAGATTGCTAACCCAAACCAGCATTTGTGAGCCAGCATTTATCTTGGTGCAGGCTGAGTCACATAACACAGACCTAAACTCTGTTGCTTGACTACCAACAGCGTCCCTACCCCTGGCCCGGCATCAGAAGGCTCACGAGGACAGCAAAGATGGATGTGTTGGGCCCAACCCAGCTCCACTAATGAGAAGACAATTCAACGACTCAGCAAAGCACGTTGCTTTGGGTGGTCCTGAGATCTTTCTATGAGGGAGGTGGTCAGTGCTGATTGCATTGTTAGAGAACGCAGGCTCTGTCTGATTCTGCTTGTTACACAGCTGAGCGAGTTCAGGTACACTGAGCTTCAACTCTCACCCGAGACCCAATCCCAAGCTTTCGTCGGGCTCTCTGAGAAGCACGAAGAGACCTAGACAGCTGCCGAGCTTGGATCTGCTCGCTCACTCTCAGACTGAGTTAATACACCGGGGATCAGTTCAAGTTAACATTTGGAACAAAGCCCTCCCCTGTCCGAATAGGCTACCGCACAACAGCCTAGATTAGAGGTTGCTCTGAGCTCAAGTTCCAGGACAAATAGCTCTGCTGCTGCCCTCTACCACCTGCTCCTTCCACCCCAGGTTCACCTGAAGGTCACAGGAGATAATGGATAATGGGTCAGGCTGGCTATTCGGCCAAGGGCAGCACTTTTAAACCTGAGGGGCCTCTGTAAACCAAGCCCGAATGTTGCTGCGGGAGTCTGAGCCTTGTCCAGGACCCCTGGGGAACCCTGGGGAAGATGAGGACAAGCCAGGGGAGTTCAGGAACACTGAAGTTCAAGGGTGGCTGTCAGAATCATGAATGAGGGGCGCCTGGGTGGCTCAGTCATTAAGCGTCTGCCTTCGGCTCAGGTCATGATCCCAGGGTCCTGGGATCGAGCCCCGCATCGGGCTCCCTGCTCCGTGGGAAACCTGCTTCTCCCTCTCCCACTCCCCCTGCTTGTGTTCCCTCTCTCGCTGTGTCTCTCTCTGTCAAATAAATTTTTAAAAAATCTTAAAAAAAAATCATGAATGAGAGTGGATGCTCACCTGGGTCACCGATATGAACGGGTTGTCCCTTATTTCCCATGGAGCAACTGGCCTGCACCAGCCTTTCCAGCTTGTCCTTGGGGGATGGGCCTCATTGTGACCACCAGGGGGCAGCAAAAGCCAGCCATGGCGACACAAGACACTGTTGTCTGAAAAGATGTTGAAAAACACAATTGACCCAGATGGAAACCCTGAGCACCAACAATTCAGGGCAGCTGAATGAAGGAGGGGGTCCAAGTAGCTATTATAAAAATACAGCTTCTACTTTTATGTGACATAGAAATGAGAAAGTCTGCTGGTAATGACTGGTTTAAAACAGAGAACCTTCACTTTGTATGTGCTGTGGACCCTTCTGGGAGTCTGGTGCAGCTACGGACCCCCACTCCAGGTTTCTAATTGCAAAAGGGGAAATGCATAGGTTTACAAAGGACACCAATTATATTGCAAATGCAGTTATCAGATTACGAAAAAATGTGGTACAGTGATATGTATGCTTCATTAACAGCTTAAGGAACAAGAGGACAGATGGATCATTATAAATATGAAGTAGCGACCAACATATAGGATATTTCTGAGATATCAGGAAGAACTGCCATGGGACAGGAAAATATCTGGGAGTCCTTCGGGCAGCCGCAAAGTCACAGGGTCTGTTGATACAACAGCAGTTTGTTGTCTGCGTTTGGAATGGAAGGAAATGCTCAGTTTCAGTTTGAGGCTATGACAATCAAAATGTTAATTTTTTTTCATCCAATTCCACGGGCCTCTGAATTTTCTCCACGGACTTCAAGGGGCCTGTGTACCACAGGTGAAGACCTTGGGGAGAGGCGGAGCCACCCAAGGGCAAAGGATCTCGCAGGAGGCACTGAGGTCTGCTTGGCCCCCTGAGTCCACACAGGGGGTGTGGGTCTGTGTCCAGACCCCACCGAGCCCTGCCTCGCTCCTCCTGCCTTGGGATGACCTGCGTGACTTTCTCTGGTGGTGGTGTTTTCTCCCCTGAATGGTTTCTGGTCGCTGCAGTGGGGCTTACATGGCCAGGATGGTGATCGGCGGGGACAGTCTTGGCTACTGCCGAAAGGCTTGCTGTTGGCACTGAGGGGGAAAATACGCCACCCCCAAATACACCACTTTGGCATACTGATTATTTTGAATTAAAGTTCCTTGGGAGACCGCCAGTGCAAGAAAAACATTCTGACATCCCTTCCCCTGCCCCTCCACCGTGAAAAGCAGGAAATAAATCTCCCGCATGGAGGTACCCTCCCTGTATCAGGAGGGCAGAAGGCGTCCTTATCACCCGCGATGGGAAATCCAAGGCCGAGAGGGCTCTCTCAACAAACCTTGCGACTTCCTCACTAATCTACTACCCCAAGCCCGAACTCCTGTCTTATCAGTCCTTCACAAATTCATTGTTTGTCTGAGAGGCACAAAAGCCTCCTGCTTTGGTCACTTCTTGGGGCCTCACACCTTTGGGGCTCCTGTAGGTACGACGCTAAATCTGTTTTTCTCCCGTTAATCCTTCTTACGTCTATTTAAGTAGGAGGCCCGCCGAAGGACGTCGAAGGGAAGAAGGGACAGGTTTCCCTCCCCTGCAGCATGCTGGTGGTGTCGGTTGGCGTGTGAATCACAGCACCTGGGAAGGGACACAGGCCAGGGACTTTCACAGGGGACAGGCAGGGCTCCCCTCAGGGCCAACACTGAATACAGGAAGGCTGGCTGGTCTTTTTGGATAGAGCCCCGGGCCAGACGGGACCACGCTGAACCAAAGCTGGTGGCTAGGTGCGGTGTCATGGGAAAAGGACGGCTCTGCCGAGCACCAACTAGGGGCAGTGACGAGCACTCTGTGCCAAGCATCCCTTCCTCGTCACACCCCCACTGGTGACACTTTACAGATGGGAGCCGGGGGTCCCGGATTCCAGGCTGGCTTTGGGATGTGGCCAAGTCCTCTTCCCTATCCAGGCTTTAAGTTCCTCATCTAAATGAAGGGTTGCACGTGATGTACCTGCTGCAAATGGCCATGTGTTTGGGGGGCCAGACCCTGCCCGGGACCCCCATCCCACCCCAGTAGCTATACTTCTGTCCCCTCCCTCCCCTGCCCTACGAAAACCGCTCAGGCACATACTTCACACATAAAAATTGCTTCTCGGGGCGACTGGGTGGCTCAGTGGGTTAAGCATCCAACTCTTGGTTTCAGCTTAGGTCATGATCCTGTGGTCATGGGATCAAGCCCCGCATCGGGCTCTGCACTCAGCATGGAATCTGCTTCAGATTCTCTTTCCCTCTCCTTCACACTCATTCACTCTCTCGCTCAAATAAATAAATAAATAAATAAATAAATAAATAAAATCTTTTTTTTTTTAAGATTTTTTATTTATTTATTTGAGAGAGAGAGAATGAGAGAGAGCAAGTACATGAGAGGGGGGAGGGTCAGAGGGAGAAGCAGACTCCCTGCCGAGCAGGGAGCCCGATGCGGGACTCGATCCCGGGACTCTAGGATCATGACCTGAGCCGAAGGCAGTCGCTTAACCAACTGAGCCACCCAGGCGCCCCTAAATAAATAAAATCTTAAAAAAAAAATTGCTTCTCATCAGAAGCAGCTCAGGCTGCACACCTAGAAGTGGCTGAGCTGGGGCCATGTCGGTCTCCTTTCTCCCATGTCAGTGTTCTCCCCACCACGAGAAAACACAGGGTGACCCACCTGTTCAAGTCATTGTCGATTGTGTCCTTACCTTGTAGGCCCCCATGAGACCGTGGCGGGCCAAGTCTCCTCTGGGGAGCCCCACCTTCTCCAGGGCTGCTTCCGGGGAGAAGCCGCAGTCCACGAAGAAGGCCACCATGTCCTCCAGGGGCTCCGTGTAGTCCTCCAGCGAGGTCAGGCTGCCCATGCAGGCGCCGAACTCGTACTTCTGGAACTGGGGACAGCCCGTCCTGGGGACACAAGGGAAAGCTCACAGGCCCCAGGCCCAAGATGGCCCCTGACCATGCACTGTTTGAAAGGGTAGGGGAGAGCAAAGAGGATGTCTGGAGCTGAAGTTTCAGGCACCTTGCTGGCATCCTTCAAATCATGCCAGATTGGAAACCAATAAATCAGCGTGCATATAATGTACTCCCTGCTCCCACCCCATTACATTTTCTATAACCTCAGCCCAAGACCAGCCAAACCAGCAAGAAAAACAAAACAAAAACAAAAACTCTGCCATTGAGGCAGGGCTGGCAGACCAAAGGGACAGAAGACACATGTCTCAAGAAGTTTCTAGCACTATAGCAGTGGGTGAGGCCTTTCTCTTTCCTGAAAGAAACTTCCGTAGAGTTGAAAGATTCTGGTTATAAGCCTATTCTTCATTCACTCCAAAATCATTTTGCTCAGCCATTCCTTCATGTCAGGCACAAGCCAGGTGATGGGACCATAGTGATAGAGGGGACACCGGCCCGGCCCTGAAGCAGCATGCAATCCTACACCGGCAACACAAAATACTTGCAACACAGAGCAGTTAGTGTTAACAGTCCAGGTAGAGGAGTGACCCAGAGAAGGGAGAGATCCATTCTCTCCCACAAAGGGGGCGGTGCTGGAGCTGGGTCCTGAAGGATGAATAGGAGCTCACCAGCCGCACAAGGAGGAAAGCACATCCTAGGCAGAGGGAACGGTATGTGAACAGCATGGAGGCATCAAACATGTGACCCACTGGGCGATGATCTCCTCTAGGAGTCCCCAAGATGGCAGCATGGGGTGTTAAGAAAAACATAAGGACCTGACCTCAGGTCTAGATGGGGTTTCTGAGGGACCCTCCCACCCCAGAGTCCACAAAAAGATAAAAGCAGAATGTTATTGAGAAGCTTTCTCTTTGGGGAGAGGACTGGGGATGGCTGGAGGGTCAGGAGTGGGGGAGGACACTCAGCCGGGGCCAGGTCACTACAGGTTTGTTTGGGTTTTTTTTAAGACTTTATTTTATTTGTTTGAGAGAGATTGAGAGCACACACATGTGTATGAGCAGGGAGAGGGGGAGAGGGAGAAAAACAGACTCCCTGCTGAATGCAGAGCCCAACACGGGGCTCGATCTCACGACCCTGAGATCATCACCTGAGCTGAAATCAAGAGTCAGATGCACAACCAACGGAGCTGCCCAGGCGCCCCGCACAGGTCTTGCTATCAGGCTAAGGTGCAAGGCACGGGAAGGCACTGAAGATTGAAATAGGGAAAGTTGCTCTGGGGGGCGAGTGGGAGACAGAGAAGATGCAAGCCTGAGCTGGGGCAGTGGGAGCAATGTGGGCTCCCTGCAGTGCTTCTGTGGAAACAGTCAGTGGGGCCATGATGCAATATGTTCTATTCCTAAGTCTGGGAGGACACACTGCACAATGTCAATAGTGCTATCTCTGGGCATGGTTCATACGAGTGTTTTTATTTTCTTTCTTGTGCTGTGCGGATGGGGTTCTGGCCTGGGTGATGAAGTGGGTGGGTGACAGTGCCAGCAACATTTCTGTAGCCAGGAAGGAACTTTCTGGGTGATCCCCAAGATTTTTTCCAGGGCAGGGGCACGGGACAGGAGCAGGGGTAGGGATGGGAATGGAGGGGAGGACAGCTCGTTCCTGAGCGAGTCATGAGCGAGGCTCTGTGCTGGGCACGGAGGGTCCCTGTGGCTGGACACAGAGGTCCCTGTTGACGCTCCCAAGCATTTTACGTGGGGTCCAGGACAGTGTTCGGGACAGGCAAGGGCCACGTGCCTGGCTTGCGGAGGCCCAGCAAGGGCAGAGGGCCACTGTTGGCTTGACAGAACTTTTCAAAGGCTGGAGCCAGGGACTGGTGCAGGACCACCACGCTGGCCGGTCGGAGCCCTGGGTTTGGTGACAGAAAAGACACGTGCTTGGTCAGTTGCTTCTTGGTAGAACCTTTTCATTGAACTCTTTCTTGCAGCTCAGCACCGAAAAATGCCCTTAAGTGTACAGCTTGGTGAATTTTCAGGAATCGAACACACCCAGGTCACCAGCACTTAGGTCAAGAAACAGAACATTATGAACGTCCCAGAATCCCTCTGGGCCCCTTACGGTCATCACCCCAGCCCCCACGGCAGACACTACCCGGACTTCTACAGATTACTTTTGCCTGTGCTTCATCTGATGGAATCATACACCGTGAGCCTTTAGCGTCTGGTTTCTGTCACTCAGCTGTACGTTTAGGAGATCCATTCATACTGCCGTGATTGACAGCAGCTGGTTCATCCTCGTTGCTGGGTGATATACTCATTACCACAACATACTTACCCAGCCCTGTTGCAGACAGACATTTGAGTGGCTTCCGGTTTGGGGTTATTACCAATGGTGCTACCATGAGCATATTAATACATGGAATTCGGGGTCCGCATGTGTGCATTTCTGTTTGGCATAGACCTAGGGTCTTGTGGACAGGCTTGCTGCAGCGATGAAGGAGGACCCCCCACTTGCATGCCACGACCTCCCCTGGGGTAAACAAACCTGTGTTTGAATCCTGTGCGACCCTCAGCCTTGGTACTCCCATGGATGAGATGGCAGTCACGACATCCACCTCAAAGAGAACCCTGTGAGTTCATTCCTGTGTGTCAATTACCCAACACACAGGTGTACAGGAAGCGGGGGTTGGAGTTATATTCATTCAACGGAATCTTGTGTAGACATTTAAAATTATGGTACAGAAGGAATCTTTCATGATACGAAAAGATGTTTGTAACACAGGGTTGAAGAAACAATACCAGATAACGAAACAGTGTGTTTGGCATATTCTCCTTTTCATAAAATTGATGAGAGAAAGAGCTAGAAGGAAATACATCTACACGTTAATCCTGGTTATCTCCGGCGACAAGACTGGGTGATTTTTTATGTTCTCTTTTGTGCTTTTCTCAATATTCTCAAATTTATGTAATAAATAGGTAGCATTCTGTAACTGGAGAAAAAACAAACAAGAAAAGTTATGGTTTTTTCTTTTAAAAAAAGGATTATTTCCTTTAAAGAGACCATCCCAAAGAAGAACATAATTATGCTGTTTTGGAGAAATAAGCTTGCTGACAATTCTAAATGCTCAATTTGCTGTATCAACATGTGGACATCTCTTTTCCACCATGATACTGTCCACTAATACTTCCAGGGTACTTATTACGTGCCAGGCTGTCTGTGGGAAGTAATTTATAGATGGAATCACTTGTATTTTATACACGAGGAGAGCAAGGCTCAAAGGGATGAGGTGACATCGTGCAGCTGGTACGAGGCACGACCAGGATTTAAGCCTGAGATGGGGGGACCCCCGAGTCTCTCTCAGGTCACCACGGGGCTACAGGCACCGGGCCTCCCTAGGGTGGGTCCACCACCCCCTCTGGCACCTTCTTCCTTGGGGATGGTAGAATGAAGCAGCTGTGACCATCCGCAGGGAAAGTTCTAGAACCGGCTTCTGCTCTAATGGCCTGGAACTGACCTCAAACCCTCAGTGCCTGCTAACGCTACAGATTTTCAAAACGAGGGCAGACTGGACACTTCCAGCCCCTGAAAGTCCAAGGAAGCTGACTGCACATCTCGAGCAAGCCCAGCGTGTCTCCAGAAATAATCTGGAGTGAGGTGGAAGGGAATTCAGCCAGCCTAGAAGCCTAGCTTTCCTTAGCCGCTCCTTCTTCACCTCCAAAGCCTGTTGGGAGAGCAAAGTGGATTTTTAACATCACAAATCAGACAAGTTATTATGTGCACAAAGCTTCTTTGTTTCCTTTTTAATTAAATGCACTTCAGAGGGCACCGTGTTTTGGGTTTGTTCATCTCCACTGCTGATCGGAGAGAGTCTCCTGGTTGTCCCCATTAGCAACAGGACACCAAGAGAGGGCTCTGTGGCTGGTGGCTTTTTGGAAGGGGTGGTGGACACATGAGGGGAGGGTCTGAAGTGATTGCTGCATCCCCTGGGTCTCTTGAGCTCTATCTAAGGTCATGATGGCTTTTTTCTTTGTGAAGAGAAATGAAGTGAGTCTTCTGAGGCCTTTTACCTCAACACAATGTTTCCCCCCCCTTTTTTTTTAAATATATTTGATGATGAGAGAGAAAGAGAGAGAGAGAAAAGCCCCTTTAACATTCCTAATCTGATGTAAACCCCTGGGGAAGGACTATGGAAGACATAGTCCCAAACTGGGGTGTCCAGCCATCCTGAAGAATGAGCGTCTTTCCTTGTGGTGCTTTCCATGACAGCAGCCAACTTGGATTGACCATCTTACCCACACGAGCTCAAGTACTCCTCCCGACAGCTCCTTAGGGAGGATTGTATTGTTACGTCCAGTTTCCAGGTGAGCTTAGAGAGGTCACACAGCTCACCCACAGCTATGGCCAGTAAGGGGCCAAGCAGGGACTCGCACCCAGGCTCTCCGATGCACTCAGCTCTCTTGGCTCCTCAAGTTCTAGCGAGCAGTAGGGTTCAGCTGGTGTTTGCTTGTATGTTGTGTGTACGAAGGGTTGTGGGAGACCACTACCTTGGTGGCTTTCAATAAAGCACATTCCCCCATGTTCACAGCCCTGAGTGGCCCCTTCCCTGTTGATTCTGTCCTTGGCTGCATGCCTTGCTTTGACAATGGGACATTAAGAAGTATGACACAGCAGGGGTTTGATATGTGCTAACTAATTACAGCTTGTCCTCCTGGAATCCTGAGCTACCTTGTAAAGAAGTTTGGCTACCACTGCTGGGGAGGCTTCATGGCAAGAAAGAAGCATTAGGCCAGCCCCAGGCTGCTCCAGATCCTCCCAGTGGACACTCCAGACACAGGAGGAAGGAGCCATCATAGATGGTCCAGCCCCAGCAGACAGGACACCACATGAAGCAGAAGAACCACCCCGCTAAGCACAGCCTCATTGCAGAATATGGTTTAAGCTGCTAAGCTTGGGGGTGCTTTGTTATGCAACAATAGATAATTCTACTGGCCCAGAAATAGCAACAGAGCCAGACGTGTCGATCAACAATGAGAACTGTCCTGATGTAGCACTTTAAACCACTCTGCTTGCTCTCCATCTGGCGATTCCCATTACCAGAAAAGTCTTCCTTGTCATGAAATTTTGCTGGGACTCAGGTCAGTGACAACCTGGATGTCTATTTTCCCTCACAGGACCTTTCAGAGCCTTGCGTGTCACTCGTCACTCCGGGAAGAGACTGGGGAGATGGTGCGGAGGAGACCAAAACAGGGATACTTGGTCTAAATCAAAGCCAGCTTAAAATGCAGTGTAATCTGGGGGCACCTTTCCCCAGAGGGAAAACCCACGGCATCATCTGAGGTCATTGGCGGTTCTCCCTGTGGAGGTGGGGTGACCGAGCAGAACTGTTGGTGCTGAGCTGTCCGATAAGGTTTTCACACCTGAGTCTTCTGGCCCAAGGGCCAGACCTCCTTCTGCGAAATTAAGTAGCGACCAGAAGTTATATCCTCCTGCCTTTACTTCCTGTTTCCCAAGCCGAAGCTAGAAATCTCAGGAATTCCTGGGCCCAGCACAGCTGGTATTTCTAGGGATTTTTTCTTTCTTTTTTTTTAAGCATCTGGCACCACTTACCCCCAGCCATGCCGGACACATTCCTGATGTTTGGTTTCTTTTGTAGAATCAGGGTCCTAATGGCAGGGGGAAGGTAGGACTTCAGGTGGAGTGTGAAGGTTATCATGCCGTCCTTGAAGGGGCCAGAGTCTGGGTGAAGGAAAGAATGGGGACAAAATGAGAAGCACAGCTTTCCCGAAGGTGGCAGATTTGGCGTCAAGTACCTACCACCCCCTCTGGGCCTTCCTGGTCGTGCCCCGAGTGGGCATTGTTTGGAGCAAATTCTCCCCCCACCCCTGCCCACATTCCCAGTCCCTTTATATCTCAGTTGCTTTCTTTCTTCTTCTTTTTTAAAAAGATTTTATTTATTCATTTTGAGAGAGAGAGAGAGGAGGGGCAGAGGGAGAGGGAGAGACTCTCAAGCAGGACCCTTCCCATTCCCCACCGCCTCACCGGGCAAGCGCACAGCCAATGCAGGGCTCCATCTCACGACCCTGAGATCATGACCTGAGCCAAAACCTAGAGCCAGATGAACCACCCAGGCACCCCCTCATGTCTCAGTTTCTAATGAGAAATTCCCAAAACTTCAAGACCTTTGCTCAAGCTCCTCCCCTGGCCTGGAACGTCCTCCATCCCTCCTTCCTGAAGACCGTCCCATTCCTCAAAACTGGTTGGAAGCTTCCCCGTCTAGGCAGCAACCCCTAGGCCTACCCTGGCTGCTGCTGGGCCTCGGCGTCCCCAGGGTGTTCTTTGAGCCACTGACTTCGGCCTGATGTTTTCTTTGACTCTGAACCCCCCCCTTTCTCTTTCCCGGGGACACTCCAAACACCTGGAGAGCAGGGCCACCTCCTGGGCCTCTCCCAGGGCTTACACAGCGGAAAAACACAGCACACCAACAACACTTAAGCTCCAAAGAACAGACAACCGCATGCCACGTGTACTCACAAATGAAACAAGAGGCCAGACTTTCTGTCTACGTGTGACTCCTGTTATTTAGATTTGGGTGCCCAGAAGAAATGGATTTTATGTTTTCTGCTTTATAATCCCTGCCGCACCCCCCTACGACTCTAGGTACAGGGCCTTACAGAGATTTTTGGTGAATGAATAAAATCCTGTAGATTTTTAAATATAGAGATGATGTCAAAGCTTCAGGAAATTGCGCTCAGAAAGGAATCCTGTGTGTTGGCTTCCTGTGAAAATTAATAAAAGGAAATCTAGTTTATTTCAGTTTATAGTTTAAAATGGAGCTGGGAGGCCAGCAGGGGGCGCTCTCGCACCCTGCCCCTGGGCCTACCCAGCAGAAGACCTACACCTTGCAAGTCCCATACTACTTCAGCTACTATCTTACTGCCCTAACAGGAGGAAGAAAGGTTTCCTCTCCCACAACACCCCAGTCAATGACAGTCACCGCTCAGCCAGCGAGGAACCACTACACGTCGAACCCCCAGTTTACTCCAATGGACTTTTTTGTTTCTCTAACAGCCCTCCCAACCTCCCCCTTTTCTCTAGAAAGGAGCTCCCTCTCTTTTGTTCCCCAGAGTTGCCTCTGGACTTGCCTGTGGTTTGGTCCCAGCTTGCTTGTCCTGAATTGCAATTCTCTGCTATCTCCAAATAAACCCATTTTTGCTGGTAAAATAGCTGGCAGTTTTATTTTTAAGGTTAACACGCTCTAGAAAGAGGTTTTGATGTGTCAGCAGAATCTAGGGCGAGGTAGATGAAGAAAGGAAAAAAATGACAGAGAAGAAAAGTGTAGCATAGCGAATATGGTCAATAATATCGCAATCCTTTTGTGTGGTCAACAGGTGGTGACTATCATTATCATGGTGAACACTGAGTAATGCATATTGAATCAGTATTTGTACACCTGAAACTAATATAACATTTTATGTCACCTGTACTTCAATTACAAAAAAAAGTCTAGGGCCAGACAGTCACATTGTGTCAGCCTCCAAGGCACAGCCCAGGTCTTCTTCATCCCAATATACCACATGCCTAGCACCGTGCCTGACACAAAAGTGGGAGTTCAGTGTTTGTTGAATGACTAGCTGACTGCAGAATGGATGAAAGCAGGAATCTAGGACAGTGTCCACAGTGAAGGTTCTGGACAAGCAAGGTTTTCCACAACCCTTTCTGTTTTTTTCTTAAAGATTTATTTATTTATTTGAGAGAGAGAGAGTGAGTGAGAGAGAGAGAGAGAAAACACAAGCCAGGGGTAGGGGCAGAGGGAGAGGGAGAAGCAGACTCCCCGCTGAGCAGGGGGCCCGATGCGTGGCTCGATCCCGATCCCGGGACTCCAGCATCATGACCTGAGCTAAAGGCAGATGCTTAACAGACTGAGCCACCCAGGCGCCCCTCCACAACCCTTTCTATCTAGAGAAGAACCCAATGAGATTCCAAACCACCAATGTATGTTTTCAACTCCAAGTTTATAGATAGAAAACCGGACAAACCCTACAGCCATTTTAATGGAGAATTTGAGATTGTATGAAAACTCTAACAAACAAAAGGTAAGAAATAATTGCCCTGGAAGGGGTAGAAATGTATTTTAAACCAACGATGAATGCTTTAATAGCCACAGAACAAAGTGCTTCAGGGACACGGAGGAGAGAACAGTTGGTCCCACAGGGCTGAGGGGGTTGTGTGCCTGGAGGATCAGGGGAGGTAGGATTCCATTCCCCAGTTGAAGATACTGAGGATTAAAGCAGCTGCTTTGGCAGGTCAAGCCTGAGCTTGCCTGCTGGCCTGAGAGGGCCCTCCTGGACATGGCGGGCCTGACTTCTCGGCCAAGCATCCAAGGCACCAGCTGAAGTCCTGATGTCTGTGGCTCCCCAGGGCCACAAAAGAAGGCTTAGCCCCTCAGCCAGACACTCAACAAAGGTCAAAGAGAGAGCCATTCCACAACCGTGTGGGGATGGTGGCCAGACCCCTCTGATAATGGCCTTCATATCTGTAGGAGAGAATGGATTTTACCCCAAACCTACCAAATGAGAGACCCCAGGGGTGCCTGTTAACCCTTGCCCCTCATTATTATTACTCAGTAAGACAGCAGGTGGGAGTGGGATGCTGTTTTGCCAATAAATTGTAGCCCAAGCACAAAAAACCTGAGGGTGATTGCCTTTCCTTTCTTTTATTTCTTTATTGCTTTAATATAAATTTAAGTGGATCTAGGTCATTCCTGTAATAATGTTGCTTTCCCGGCCTGGAGATAAACGAGTGTAGTTTGAAATTCTGCCCTGTGAAATGCGCACTGGGAGTGTGCCAGGCACGTGAACATCACCCACTGTGCATGTCAGGAGGGAAAGAAGGCTGAGAACCCCTACCTTACAGTCATCCCCTTGAAGCAGGGGTCAAACAGAGCATGAAGGGCAGGCTCACCGGCTCCTGCCAAAGAAGTGCCTTCAGTACACCACCCGGAGAATGCCCAATCACTTAACAAATGATAGCAGTTACCACCCCACCGTATATGAGACCCACTGTGCCAGACCCTTTTCCCTCATTGGTTTACGACCATTGGTTCCTCACCACTGCTCCACGAAGAAGACATTGTTAACCCCATCATGGACAAGGAATGGGTCTTGGGGAGATCAAAGAAGCTCCCTAAAATCCCATAACTAGTAAATGGTAGAGCTCAACCCCAAGAACAAAGTCTAAGTTCATGCTTATTTGACTGATATCTACCTTTCTATGTCTATGTATATATGTATCCATCCATCCATCCATCCATCCATCCATCCCACCATCCATCTTCTGGTGTTAACAGGAATCACATCCTGGAGCACTTGGATGGCACAGTCAGTTAAGTGTCTGACTCTTTGTTTTGGCTCAGGTCGTGATCTCAGGATCGTGAGATCAAGCCCCATGTCAGGCTCCATGCTCAGCGCAGTCTGCTTCAGATTCTCTCTCCCTCTCCCTCTGCCCCTCCTGCTCATGCTCTCTCTCTCTAAAATAATAAATAAGTAAATCTAAAAAAAAAAAAGAATCACAACCTCAGTAGGAATAGCAGGGACCTTCCCCTTTTCCTGCACAAGGTGATTCCAGAGCCAGAGTCTCTTGAGTCCATATGTTTCTCTGGGAACTGAACCCAAAGGTAGAGCATGGGTTCAAACCATGTAGACCAAACAAACTGAAGTTTCTCAGGCTTTCCACCAGGGCCTCCAGTGAACTCACTGCTGAGTGGCCCTGAGGGGTCCAGGTGCCTCAATGCCCAGTGAGGTCTTACTCTAAGTAAGGGATCTAATCAATAAGCACTGGATGGATCCTAAGAAGCTACCTTTCCACTGCGAATTCTCTTTTCTCTTTAGAGAGTAACAAACTTCAAGGCCACAAATATCATTCCTTAGCCTCGAATATACCAGAAAGGGGCCCACAGCCCACCAATTCCTTAGAGGCATCTGACACAGCCCAAAGCTCAGTGTAAAAATATCTCAGCTATGCCTGTCACAGATGACTGAAATTCCACCATTAGAAAGTCATTTCTCTGCTTTACCCAAGTAATCCAGTTGTAGGAAGGCATGCTCCAGATGTGCTCAAATAGTGGGGCCGAATGATGGGAGCACATAGCAGCCCTATTTGTAATAGGAACAATTCAGAAACAACCTAACAGAGGTTGATCAACTACAAGGAGGACTGGTTAAATGGAAGAGTATCTAAACTATGGCACATCCATACCATACAATGAGATACTATGTAAACATTAAAAAGAATGAGGCTACTCTAAACACCTCATATGAAACAATTTCCCAAAGACATAAAATAAACAATGGAAAATGAGTAAAATGAATAATGTAAGGTAAAGGTATTCTCTATTGAATAACACACCCATGATGCATTCAAATCCATGTAGACTGTCTCTGGAAGGTTGGAGAAGAGCTGTGCCTGCAGAGAGGGAAAGTAGGTGGATGGGGCCCTCAGCTACCACACTGTATTTTATGCAAATGGCACCCTCTGGGGTTGTGCCATGGGGTGGCCCTGAGGGAAGAGGGATTTTCTGTATTTATCCTTTCTGTACCTTTGAGTGGGACAACGGGGAAGTATTACATAATTTAAAAATGGGATTTAATGTAAACATATATAAGGAAGTTAGAATCAGATCCTTTTTAAGTAATCTCTATACCCAACATGGGGCTTGAGCTCACAACCTTGAGACCCAG